TAACAAGATGTGTGAACCTAGCCACTGTTGTTGGAAACCCATGATGAATGTTCTAGTGCTGGGTGTCAATGCACCAACTATAATTTAACAGATCACCAACCCTAGCTAACAATACCGAATTGTAACAAATAATTAGCAGTTCTTCATTCTGGTGGTGAAGGACTTTTCTGCAAAAGAGAGAGAGAAAAAAATTGTACTTCGATAAGAATGAAGAGAATGAATACCCAGTGTCATTTTTGCAGATAAAGTTGTGTTTCTCTCTTATGCAAAATCACCATGTTTAAAGAGTTAGGATGTTATCTATGCAAGTTAGTTTTCTTCAATACAGTCTCATGGCATCTTAAAATCTATTGTGACAAAGTTACTACATAAACTTTCATCAACTACTATCTACCTGATGGGATGGACTCAGTGGTGGGATTCAAATATGTGAATGCCACTTCCGGAAGTCCATTCTGGCCTGGGCAACAAAGAATTAGCTGCTGGTTCTGCCAAAGAGGTGCAAACTGGCTGAATCCCACCACTGGATGGGCTGTCTTCCACAAAAGAGCAACTGCAAAACAGGGTGCTTCAGCTGTATCACCTCTTTTTTTCCCTTCCCCATCCCCATGGATCTAGAGACAATAAAACAACACCCACTTATTTTTAGGATTGCATCTTGTTAACATCTGGAAGGTCAAAAGGAAGGAAACAAAATCAGCATAAAGAATCAGATGAGAGTCACCTGAAACACAGGATTTGATCTCAATTCCACACCACATGTAGCCCTAACATTATGGTATAAAAGCAATATGAGTTCCCCGCCCCCCTTCTTTCTTTTCAGGGTAAGGAGGAAGTGAAGTGAGGCAGGCTAGAGACACACAGTAACACCTGGACAAGGGTTCCCCCTTTGCCACAGTTTATGTAACTACAGTGGAGCCAGAGCAAATGGGGAAAGGAACTGCATTTAAACAGTTCTTTTCCCCATCCACAGGCCTGCTGCCCATTTTCTCAGTGCAAGATTTGTGCTGGCTGAGCTTCTCCCAGTGTGGTTTTAAAATCTCATTTGCTGTGGCTCCACTGAAGTTGCACAAACTCTGTGGCAAAGGGGCAACCTTGTCCAGATGTTGCTTTGTGTCTCTAGCCTGCCTCACTTCACTTCATAGAGGTCATACATGTCAAAACCATTCAGAAATCATTACTCATGCCAGCTAAGGATCACTTCTTTATATACATAAACTTGGCAGTTTAATCTTAGCTTTAGAAGTCAGTTAGAGTTGTTGGGTTATACACACACACACACACACACACACACTTATACTGTTATTTAATTTTAATTTGTTATGTTCGCACAACACACCCATGGTTGACTGTACCATGGTTTATTGCCCAATAATGTCCATAGCAAAATTGTCTCAGGAGAAGAGGGAACATTTTACTTTAAAACTAGAACTAAGGATGATTTTAGGTCATTCCAGATAGAGCCTGGGAATGAGATGAAGACACAGTGCCATGAGGACAAACCCAGACTTGGTTCCCAGAGAATCTTCATGCCACAGCAAAGGCATTTACAAGGGGATTAAAACTGGCAAAGTGGCAGAGCAGTATCATAGTTTACACAATGTGCCTTTGTACGCAAACGTATAAAAGGGGTTGGGTGCGCAGTGTGAAAAAGGTCCATCATCTTGCCGATTTTGATACACAGTTCTGGTGGATATCTCTGTGCTGTGGTTAGGGGCAAGTGTGGAAGAGCCCACAATGGCTGACCAGCTGAATTTGAGAACAACAATTGCTAGCAATGCCTTTTTAGAAAGCATCCAGCTCTTAAATCTAGTGGCTGCTATTGCAAGATCCTCAATGATTTTGTCTAATTTTTGGTTTAAAAGTATCCAAATTAGTGGCAATCACTGCATCTGCTGTTAGCAAATTGCATGCTTTAATTCCGGCTTCAGTGAGAAATATAGTATCACTACAGACATGCAGGGACAGAACAGAGGCATCTTCATTTTCAAGAATGCCTCTTTTCTCCATAACGGTCCTTCAGCTGTATCCATACACTCAGATACCCTTTTTAAAAAACAATGCGTGTTGTAATAGCACAATTGGTGTAATTCTTGTCTTGCAAACAGAAGGTTACCAATTCAGAATGTGGCAAAAGTGTTCTGTCTCTGTCGTTTTTCCAGTCACCTGATTTTACTGTAAAGTGGTGCACTGCACAAACACTACCACTTATTTTTATAAAAAAGCACAAGAAAAAGAAGGCACTAAGAAAAGGGGGAAAAAAGTAGCAGTTAAAAAAGTCCTTCTTTTGGCCTTCAAAGTAGCAAGCTTTTATTTACTTGGCAAGAGTTGCAACAATTGTGCTGTTAGAGAACGATAACAAAACACAGGCTTAAAAGATATTAGAAAGAAACACAACAATCATTGAGAAATACTTTTAAGCTGGTTATTTTGCTGCTGTGTACGTGCATTTTGATATTAATTCAACATAACTTTGTATTTGTATGTTTTACAAGTATGTGTGCAAGACACACTTGAACTCACACAGATGTTATCTGAGAATCATTGTACCATATCTTTCAAAAATCCTGGAGCACTGGGGAAGTACCTGAGGATTGGAAAGGGGCTGATGTGGTTCCCATCTTCAAGAAAGGGAAAAAAACAGACCCAGGAAACTACAGACCAATCAGTCTAACACAGTGTTTCTCAACCTTGACAATTTTAAGGCATGTGGACTTCAACTCCCAGAATTCCACAGCCAGCATTGCTGGCTGTGGAATTCTGGGAGTTGAAGTCCACATGCCTTAAAATTGTCAAGGTTGAGAAACACTGGTCTAACATCAAAACCTCCAGTGATGGAGTGCCCATGATTTCTGAAGGCAATCTATTCCACTGGTTAATTATCCTCACTATTAGGCAGTTTCTCCCTAATTATGGGCACTCCATCATTGGAGATTTTTAAGGCTAGACCAGCGGTTCTCAGCCTGTGGGTCGGGACCCCATTTGGGGTCGAACGACCATTTCATGGGGGTCACCAAACAACGCAGTCCGCCATTTTTCCCCCCTTTTCTTTAGCTGTGCTACTTCCTTTTATTCTATTGGCTTTTGAAAACCAATAGAATAGACTCTCTTGAATAGAGTCTAATTCTATTGGCTTTCAAAAGCCAATAGGAATTGTCCAGGCTGTCTCTGCCCTGCTGAGCCCGCCAAAAGCCCCAGTCTGCAAATGGTGCTGCAAGTTGTCTGCAGCAAAGGCAAGCTGTCTGGAAGTTTCCACTCCTCCATGCTGAGCAACTACTAAAAATGTAAGCAAAAGAGGGCCAGAAGTGGGAGGCCGGCAGGCACAGGGAGGGTTGCTGGTGTGCGTGGGGCCCAGCGGGTGCCTTACCACCCTTGGGCTGGGCCAGCTGGTGGCCCAGCCGGTGGTCAGCCTGTGCCATCTCTGCCGCTTGCCAGCTACGCCTCGGCTGGCGCAGGGGGCGGCACCATGCATGCACAGCGCTCCCAGGCAGGGAAAGTCCTCGACTTACAACCGGTTGGGTAGTCCTTGACTTACGACCAGTTGGCGGTCGTGGCATTAAAAAGGTTGAGAACCACTGGGCTAGACAGTCACTTATCTGAAATGGTATAGGTTCTCCTGCTTGAGCAGGGGTCTGGACTAGAAGACCTCCAAGGTCCCTTCCAGATTCTATTTTATTCTATTGACATCTATATATACAAAGGTATATAAATATATACTGAATCCTTGCAAGCTGTTGATAAAGTGTCTCAGTCTTGACAGAATTTCCTTACCCCAGTTTAGAGCTACATCAGTACAAGCACAGGAGCATTTAAAACAGGAAGTGCTGAGAAATTAACGTCTGTGAGTCAGGATATTTTAAAAAATGCAAGATGGAGGTTGCAATCATGCAATCGAAGCCCCATACTTTTGTATATATACATGTGTGATATTAACACGAGTGGGATGGGGTTTTGATTGCATGGAATCAATTGCCATATTAACCTTTTTTGGTGCCCCCTTCCTCCAAGATATTGTTCTGAAGAGATGCCTTCATCTGATTACAGAAAGTTAGCATTATGGAGTAAATTATTCTAAAGAAGAATTCTGTGCTGAAATGGATTTGATTCATTTTTATTAATTTATTTACAGTCTCTACATTTTTCATATTAACAAATCTCTCTCACTCGTCAGAGCTTGCCCTATTCAGTAAAGAACTTGACTAAATTTGAAATCCTTTCAGTTTTAAATCCACGTGCACTCCAGCTCTACTAAGATCTCGATTGTCCCATGGTTCCTATCATTCTCCTGGACATCCTGGCTCAATACAATAGAAGTTGTACAGGTAGTCCTCAACCTACGACAACTGAGCCCAAAATTTCTGCTGTTAAGTGAGACATTTGTTAAGTGAGTTTTGCCCCATTTTATGACCTTTCTTACCACAGGCTGTTAAGTGAATCACTGCAGTTGTTAAGTTAGGAACAAGGTTGTTAAGTGAATCTAGCTTCCCCATTGACTTTGATTGTCAGAAGGTCTCAAAAGGTGATCATGTGATCCCAGGGCACTGCAACCATCATAAAGATGAACCAGTTGTCAAGCATCTGAATTTTGATCATGTGACCATGATCCCCATGGTTGTGTGAAAAACGGCAATGTCACTTTTTTCAGTGCCAACTTTGACCTGTCACTAAACGAACTACTGTAAATCGAGGACTACCTGTAGTCTAACCCAGTTGCAGAACACTCGTTTGGGGAAGGCCAAGCACCTGGAAAGCCTCGAATTTTCTCTTCTTATGCGCGCTTCACACTTAGTTTTAAAAAAAAGAAAGCAATTCTAATTGAAGTTTCACTTCCTGAAAAATACCTACTCCTTTTCCAGAGGAAACCCAGCTGCCGAATAAAAGCTTAGCTTCTTGGAAAGCCGGAGCCATCTAGCAAGATCGCCCTCAATTCGCCCCGATGGAAATGAAACTTAAACTTTCGTAGAGATCACGTGGTTTACAGGAACAGAACAGGGCCGAACGCAGCCGGACTCCCTCCTCGCGACCGCACTAGGCCCTTGGCAGCGATTGAGAAGAGCGAAAGGCATGTGCCCTCCCCGCGAGGAGCATGCCAATCCGAAAGGTGGTTCTCTCTGATTGGCTGTCATTGGTCAATGAAATTTCCCTCCGATCTGTAATATAAACATCACGCAGAGGGCGAGAGAGTTTTGTGGTTTCCGCGTTCTTCTCTGTCGCGCCGTAGGAGCTCTCCGCTGGTGGAAAAAAAAAAAAAGGTAATGATTTGTCCTTTTTCTGGAGTGATTTTAACTCGTAGAAGAGAGTGAGTTAGCTGAGCTGAAGTTGCTTCCACCCAGATGAAGGGAAAAAAAAAGCCACTTTCTTATTCTAGGTGGGTATTTTCACTTTTTCGGTGTCTAGCCGGCGCAAGAGGTTTTGCGGCTATGAGCTGCTTTTTCGGTACGGCGTCCAATTATTACATTTTTTAAAAAATGAAACTCAATTTAAATTATCCGATTAAATTATGAAAAAGAAAAAAAGCGTCCTGAAAATGCATTTGCAAACAGCCGAAAACAGTGCAACATCGGAGCAACATCTTTGTATACCTGACTCACAACGCCCCCCCCCCAGGTAGCAGGTGTAGAGATTTGGTTTATCTGCAGCCTAGAAGAACTAGGTGTGATCTGCTTGTCGGTTGCTCCAGGAAGCAAAGTAGATTTGCCCTGCATTTTCCCTGTTGCAGTTGCATCAACACCTGGGAAGAATTTGGATGCAAGTGGTGATAAAAAGTAACCATGAGGTGGGGGAGAATGCTAAGTGTATTGCTTTATATAGTTCTGCAGATTGTATGCAAGAAAAGTTCTTGTTTGCTGGTAGGAGACCTGCTTAATGTTCTCTAAGTAATGTGCATATGAATGGGCTATTAAGTCAGTTTGCAACCAAAATACTTTTTTCTCTGGGGAAAGAAGTAGAATTTTGGAGTTTTATTTGCTGCTAAGTTAAAGATTATTTTCACCAGCATTTGTGCTGATGGAAAGTGATCTCTGTGCTACTAAAACAGTTGTGTCCGATTGTTTGTAACCTTCAATTGGTTGTTTCAGTTGTTGCTATATGATCCACTGAAATGTGCATCATATGTAAGGTGACCAACCGTCCTCCTTTAGGGAGGACAGTCCTCCTTTTGTAAGTTGTCCTCCCTCGAAAAGTGTCCTCCTACATGTCCTCCTTTTCAATATTTGAAGATTAATCTGCAGGGCATTTTCTCTCTCATAGAAAGCTCAGAATGGCGTTCCGGCACCTTTTTTTGATGGGTTTTTTTTTCAATTTTTGCATGAGCTGTGCTACTTCCGCCAAAACACCCAGCTGGCAAACTTTGCACATGCAAGTTGTCTGTATTATTGTTGCAATGAATAAAATGTTTCTTTTATTTATGATATTTTTTTCTTCAATTTATTTGTGTCCTTTTCATTGTAAAAAAGTTGGTCAATATGGCAACAGTCTTTGAATCAACATACTTCAGATGGGTTAACTTACAGAATGCATCAAAAATCCAGGACCTATGACTACTGTGGGATTGAAATTGGATAATTGTGGCCACTTCATTATGTGATCATCATTTTCAGTGCTCCCTGCCAGCTTCTTACAAGGAAAATCAATGAGAAAGTTACTCCTGCTCTCTCTGCTCTTTTGCCTGCCAGTAATCATTCTGTTTCTCTATTTAAGTAAGGAAATACCTTTGAAACAGTAACCCAGCAGGGCACAGATTGTTTAGTAGTACAAGGTAACATTTCCTGCTTTCATTATCAATCTTTGAATCTCCTGTAGTTCCAGTGGTTGAAGGAGGGGGATGATGAAATATGAATCATGCAAATGATGTAAGTTATGTATTATAGGGATTTTTCCCTGTAACAATGATTGTGTGGTGGGTTGGGCTGAGAGAGAATGCGACTGGTCCAAACTCACCCAGCCAGTTAGGTATGCCCAGGCCTGGACTAGAACTCACAGTCTCCTGGTATAGTAGGTGTGGGTAATGATTTAGAAAGATTGTGAAGGATTGCAAAACCTTTTTATTAATGGATTTTGTGAGTCTGTTATATAGAGACTAAAAACATCTTGTCACTATGGGCTTCTACCATACCAAACAGGAATTTTCATCTATTTGAGGCAGGTTTTGTTCAGTAAATATTTATATTTTTCCCTTCTGCAATTCCTTCAAGATCAACTTTCAATTTGAGGAAATAAACATACAATATGGTCAAAACAGTCAAAACCTAAAAATAGCTTGAAATTATCATTAACATTTCACAGTGTAAAAGGTGAGGTTTTTTTTAAAAAAAACATCTTCACGATATATCAGTATGACCTCAAAGTAAATTTCAAGCAAGAGTCCCACAGAAAGTGAGATGTCTGAATCCTCATCATCTGCTATCCCCTCAAAAATCTGGAAGAGAACGTGCAGTAGCAATTATTTTGGTGGTCAAACAGGTTGATGCCTTTCAAGGCACAGGCATTTTGGCTAATGAGCCCTTAGGTACAGCAAGATATTTCAATTTTTGAAAAACACTTGAAGCATGTATTCATATACATTGTGTGGGGATGCAATTATTTGAAGTTTAAGGGATGGAGTGTGTTAGATGAGGACTTCGTAGATCTGATCAATAGAGTTGGACCCTTATGTGATGCAAAGTCCAATCTACCCCAGTGTAATAGTAGTAGAAGACCTCCTCATTTGACTCTCAGTCTAAACCGAAGTCCCTGTTATGAAACTCCTCAACTTAGTACTTATCATTTGAAAACTATGCTTCGTGATATAGGCTGGCTCAGAAATCTGGAAATTGGGACTCAATATGGCTGAATGGTTGGAAAAGGCTGACATAGGAAGCATCACCACTATTGACAAGGACAGCGAGTTTGATTCCCCTAGTCCAGGGGTGTCAAACTCAATGTCACATGACGTGTCGCGACGCATGACTTTTTTTCCATTGACGGCAATGGGGTGGGCATGGTTTTGCCATAACGCATCTGGCCCGCAGGCCGGCAGTTTGACATCCCTGCCCTTATTCCATCTAGAGTAGGTGCATAGTGGCTTTTCTTCAGATCGTATAGACTAAGCTTTGGGTGTACTTGCAGCCTTGTTGAAATTGTGACTGAGCACTTTCTAGAAGGAATGTGATTCTTGAATGAATTCAATCTGCCTTAGTGATAAGTTCACTGAGCTAACTATTGCAATATGATGTATGCCAAGTTTTATTATCTTATCAAATGTATATAGATGCTATATCTCCATTCTGGGCAGTGAACAAAATGAAAAGAGACATTCATTAAAAGCCAAAGTCCAATTAAAGGTGCATCAAGGCTCAATAAAAACACAAAAGCAGGAGGATTATTATAGAGCAATATTGGGGGCTGTCTTGGGACAGTTTTTTCCACCTACATGTGCACCAATGGAGAGAAGGCTTTGAGTGCTTTCCCTGCATGAGATTAGTCATGGGATGTAGATAGACAGTCTTCCTCTGGGGAAAGCCCAGGTTTTGTAGCATCCTGCCTTTAGAGCTAAACTTTGCTATTTCTTCTAGGTATTTCATATTACTTATTTATTAATCATTGCTAATTAAACAGTTGATGTCAGTTTTTGTTGGCTTATTTTGAACGGGCTGCCATGATACTGTGAAAAACATTTATTTTGCTCTGGTGCGAAGATTTTTATTCTGGTCTGAAATGATTGACTTCTGTATTTCTAAAACTGCCCAGAGTATTAAAAAAGTTTAGAATGTGATATGGAAGATGAATCTGAAGCCTACTTGGCTATGAAGACGTGTAATAAAAATTCAAAAACCAGTAATTAACAAGGTTATGTCATCTGGTTGTTGTTTTGGAACAGGTTCTCCCTGGAGGGGTCTTCCATTAATCCATAAGTTACTTGATGTAAAAAAGAGAGAATTCTTTCATATTTCATCTGACAGCTACACAATGGCAGCATCTGCAAATAAGGGGTAAGTGCTTCTTGGGTAGAATTCTAAAACAATAACAATAAAAATGTACGTGTGGGCAAAGGAAAAGTGGGCTTGTGTATCTTTACTTTTATTTATACACAGTGCTTTTCAGCTAGTGAATAGTATGATAAATCTGTCAATAAAGCCAAGCACTTCTCTTTTCTGTAAATAAGAGCTTTTGACCTAAATTACATTGAGAGGAAGAAAAAAAAGCAAAACAAGAAGAGATCAGGACTTCTTTATTAAAGCTTTTGGAAGTAAATTCAATAGCATTTTCTTCCCTGTAAATCTGCTTAGAATTTACAGCCTATAAATAACAAAATAACAAAGAACAAATAATGGTTTTTACAACTCCATGCTGATGTTAGGATGCTGATAGAAAGTGAACTCAATATACCATAAACTTGTGAGTCAGCTTAATATGTCAACGTAGTATCTAATGCAGAGGTCCCCAACCTTTTTTCCGTGGACCAGAGGGTGTGTGTTTTTGTGTACTGCCTGCATCCTGCAGATGGGGCTTTGCTTGTTTGCACGGACCGGTTTCTGGCGTGCCGTGGCTCTATGCCAGTCCACAGATTGGGGGTTGGGAGCCCCTGCCCTAGGGTTCTGCATTTATACTACTGAGTTGGTTGCAAGTCACATCACTTGTGTGGGGATGCATATTTAATATTTTGCCCTCCTCCTACAGATACAGTTGATTGTGTCTATTCTATTTTAGGTGAATCTGAAAGTCCTCATATGCACACTATTGCAATCTTGGCCAACTTAGTATTTTCCACGTATCTTAGACTAGAGCTCCCACTTGCCCTAATGGTATTGCTTTCCTGTCAGGTAGTTGGTGGGTTGTAGTCTAATAATGACACTAGATTGGGGAAGGTTGCATAGTAGCAAGCAGTTTGTGGCTCCACAATCTCCATGCTGCAGCTTGTGCTTCTACGTAGCAACTGGAAATGTTGGGTTTTAGATCAAAAAGAGGACTAAATAATGAGCATTACATTGTAAAACGTGGGGGATTTACAAGTGCCATAATTCTGCACTGATGTAATTAGTGTAGTATAAGTTATTTATTAATGATTAGGATAATGATTAGGAAGACTACGTTACTGCCCGTGTTATTTCTGGGGAGTTACTGATATAGAAAACTATTATTTTTCACCTATCTAAATCTGATTTCACTACTGGGTACTATGGCTCTGTAGCTATGTGGCTTTGAAGGGGAGAAAGTGATTGTACACAATAGTGTACAATACTGTCAATACTCCCTTAAATCAAATATATCTCTCCTTAGGATAGTAGAGTACCAGCCAGACTAGCTCAGGAAAAAGCATAGTTTCTTCCTAATCGTTGACAATTGCTCAGGGAACATCCCTTCCACAATTGCATAACTCTACTGTGTCAAATTAATGATTTGTTCTTCTTTTGTCTGCAAAGTCACTCCCTTACTGCAGTCAAGCAGTAGTTAAATGTTCCAGGATAGGTAAATTAACATCCACAAGATAAACAAATTCAAGTACAACTTCAAAATAAGCACAACATGTAACATGCCATGTTTATCTGTTGACATTTTTCAACCTTTGATTAAGGATCAAGTGAAAGTAGCAGAATTTAGCTGATCCTGAAAAAGTTTAACAAAAGTAGGCCTGTTTAGTACTGTATGTGGATGAAAAAACATCAAGACATTCGAGACTAGATAAGGAGGTTGAAAAACATTCCAAAGTAGTGACAAGCCATATCTGTATTGTTCTCAAAAGAAGAATGAATGTTGTCTGTTGCATCAAGTGTTAAGCTTGGTTTGAGGGGAGAAAAAGTACTGGTATTAAGTTAGAGAAGATTGCTATATTGTATATTATGACTCTCAGATTCACCTAAAATGAACAGAATGATCCAATCAGGCTATGCCATGAAAAAGTGCAGTTTTGTAAAGTTCAGGGAAGAAATATTTGATTCTGGCTTCTTTATTTGAAAACCCTATTACGACAGCTACACTTCCTTTTCTTAATTGGAGGTTTTATCGTTTTGCCTGAAGTCTGCAATGAGAGATTTTGGAGATCACCCTCCATGTCGACTTACAGTCATTTCTGTTGTGGCAATTCTTGGCTATAGTTTTCAAGGAGTAAAATTCTTCTATTTCCTCACTCAGGAATCCTAAAAAAGTTGGGTTTTTTGACTGGTTGATTGAACAGATCAACAGTGGAATCTACACGGGTTTGGAGTGGACAGACAAGAATCACACAGAGTTTTGTATCCCTTGGAAACATTATTCAAAGAGGGATCTTGTGGCAGATGATTATAAGATTTTCAGGGTATGAACATCTTCTGCTCAAAATGTTTATGTGTATATGTTTGCCATACCAAACTGTACTCTCTTCTGTAACCATTTCAAGCTTCTAATATTTTAAATAGATCGTGATGTAAGCCTGTGCAGATTGGACTTACTCACTGATGCTGAAAGAAACCAACCTAGTAATTTTTCTGAAAGCTTTGCTATATAAATGAAGAATCCATTTTACTCAAACATCCCTAGTATAAATAGCAACTTGTGGTTCCATTTAGCTGACAGATTACTTTAAAAACGTCTAGATACATGTAGGCAGCGGCAGCCCATTTTTGCACCCCATGGCGCGGCGTCCTGTTTTTGCTCCCCGCAGCCGCAGTGCTAGCACAAATGAGGGGGTATGCATACACACATGCATGCATTGGCCAGCCTATCCCATGGCCCGGTGGCCAGCAGGCCATGGTCCATTATCGGGCCACAGCCCACAGGTTGGGGACCCCTCTTCTAGGTTGCTTCTCTCCTTGATTAGTTTCCATCCATTGCTTCTTATCCTGCCTTCAGATGTTTTGGAGAATAGGTTGAGCCCCACTTCTTTGTGGCAGCCCCTGAGATGTTGGAACACTGCTATCATAGCATCCTAGTCCTTCTTTTCATTAAACTAAATATACCCAATTCCTGCAACTGTTCTTTGTATGTTTTATCCTCCAGTCTCTTAAACATCTTCGTTGCTCTTCTCTGCACTCTGATATATTTTTTATATTATGGTGACCAAAATTGGATGCAATATTCCAGGTGTGGTCTTAATCAAGGCATTATAAAGCGATATTAACACTTAATGTGATCTTGGTTCTACCCCTCTATTAATGCAGCTTAGAACTGTATTGGCTTTTTTGGCAGCTACAGCATGTTGCTGGATAAAGGAGAAAGGGTTGGAGTAGCAATGTCTGATAGTTTAATGAAAACCATTTCTGAGTAAAGTAGTATTTTAATCTTCATTCTCACTGTAGTTGAGTTCAGAAACTGCCCACAAGCAAGGACCTGTTATTTACAATGGGTGGAGAGTTCTTATTGGTACGTGTGGAAACTTTGCTCCCATTCTGAATAGGAGATATTTCTCTCAGTGTACATTATTTATTTTATTTAAAGAAAGTTTTATTAAAGTTTATTGTAGCATAAAATACAATGCAAATACAGATTAAAAAGGAGGAAGTACAGGGTAAAAAGGGAGAGAAGATTCTGATTTCCAATTCTTTTCAACACAATAAAATATTAATACATTTATGACTTCAACTTTTTACACTACCTGTTATTATTACAAGCCAGTTCTATAACTACACAATTATTAAATATTCAAACCAAATTCTAAATTTTAGTTTTTTTCTATCTCAAGCATAAAAATCAGAAGCAATATCCCAATAAAAACTAACAAAATAAAATCTTTGTTTAAATCAGGTGACATCACCATTTTTCCAAATCCATTTTGCCCCTGATATATATTTCTATTTAACTTATTAATCTTTTTAAACTATAATCATCTCTTTAACAAAAATCACCATACTTTTTCAAATACTTTAACCTTAAGAGGAAAACTCTTTTATATTCATTTTAAAATCTTAAGCGTTTCTTAAGAAAGTTCCACCTTTGTAAGTAAAACAATTAATTCTAATGCATCTTTTAAACTTTCAACATACATACATTCAATAATATTTTACAAACTTAGGAATTATTCAAGCATTATAAAAAGAAACAAAATGATTGCAACCCCGCCTTCCAGTTTATGGACGACTTGTCTATTTCAGAGCATTGCTATATAGCAGTGATGGCGAACTTTTTAAGAGACTGAGTGCCCAAACTGCAACCCAAAACCACTTATGTATCGTCGAGTGCCGGATGGGTGTGGCCTATTGGGTGGACGTGGCCCATTAGGTGGGCGTGACTGCGGTGATAATGGCAGACTGGGTGGGACTAAAAAGTTCAATCAATCAATTCCAACTTTGCAAGATCTTTTTTTTTCCCACGAGAAGTTGAAATTGACTGATAGAACCTTTTTTTTTTTTTTTTTGCACACGGCAGCGGAGGCCTAAAGCAAAAAGGTTTTATAAAACCCAGCTGAAGGCCTAGGACTGGGGCGATGGTGTGCGTGCCCACAGGGAGGGCTCTGAGTGCCGCCTCTGGTACCCGTGCCATAGGTTCGCCACCACTGCTATATAAAGAATCTTGTGGGATGATTCTGGGACTCTCTCTTAGCAAGAAAGTCATAAAAACTTAAGAAACTCAGTTCCCTGTATGTAAATTTAAAAATCTTTGGTCTGGAAAGGACTTTCCCAAGTAGTCAGTTGGCTATATTCATCGGTAGTCAGTGTACATGACCCCTTTGAGACAGTAACTAATACAAAATATGCAAGTTCTTATCATCACTTCTCACCACGGTGTGCTTCTCATCTGGTTTACCATCTCCCAGTTACTTCTTTAAAAAAAGGTTAGTTGCACAAGAATAGTCTTCTCCAATCTGGCATTCTCCAGATATTGGATACTTGCATTTTTGAGAACTCAGAAGGGCATAAAATTTGGCACATTAGAAAGGGCACAAAATTGGGAAAGGCTATACATGAGCAAAGTACATAATGAAATAACATCTCTAGTTGCCTGTTTGATACACTCTTACCTTTTATCAAATTTGGGGATATTTGTCTTTTTAATTAATTTCTGATTGTCCTATTCCTGATTTGCTGGATCAGGAATTGGACAAGGTGGGACCAGATGTTTCATTGAATGTTTACGTTTTCATCTCTCTATTTTTTGTCTGTTTTCATGTGAAAAGGCATGGGCTATGTATAGCAAAAAATATAATAAAACAACTCCTAGTAAATGGAAACTCAACTTCCGCTGTGCCATGAACAGTACGAAGAGATTTGAAGAACTGGTGTCAGATAAACCTGACTTTCACAAATACAGAATCATCCCCCTGAAACCAAAAACTGAATCAACAGCTAACCTCTCTTCGAGTACAAGTAAGACTTCTTGTATTATATTATTAAGCCAGAAGGATGCAATTTCCTGTGTATAAGAAATAATGAAAAAAGTTACGAGTCTGAAGTTTTGAAAGGCTATCATTTAAAAATAAATGGTGGATATTCATATTATTCTAAGCTAACTTTGCCAAGCATTATCTTAGAGAATGCTATAACAATGACTGTGTATATTAGGGCTCTTCAAACTTTGCCCTTTTATGACTTGTGGACTTGTGGCATGCTGGCTGAAGAATTCTGGGAGTTGAAGTCCACAAGTCATAAAAGGACCAAGTTTGAAGACCCCTGGTATATATCATAGATCAGCAACTACATCTTAAAGTATTTCGATTTTCTAGAACCCTTTCATATATGAAAATTTGCAGTGGTACAGGACTGGATTTTTGAAATAAGATTGCCAATTATTAGGCAATGTGCAATAAGTATACTTCAGTTTAGGAAGTGTGAATTAAGATGGTATGTTTGGGACTGGAATGAACCAAGAGAGTGAACCAACTTCATAGCTTGTCTTTGTTACACAAAGATTCCTCTTGTCCCAGTGATGGGAGCTCTGATGTGTCAGGATTGTGAAATCCAAATAAGTGAGCTTGGAGGTGATCCTCCTGAGGGGGAGTATGGTATTTTCAAGTACATACAAAACTGTGCAATTTGAGTATCAGCTTTTAAAAACTAAGCTTAAGCACTGCTGAGTGGGGCTAACAATCAGCATATTGGCAAAGTAGCTCTGCTGATGTGAATCCAACTGCCAGAGAGAAATTAGAATTATACAACATGCTTTCTTGACTCAAAAAACATTAACTAATCACCCAAACTGAATAAGAGTTGGTGATAGAAGCCCAATATATTACTAGTGCATGGAATGCTAGGTGATATTACTTGTGACTCAGTATAGCTTATGCTCAACGAAAAAATATTTGAATTTAATTCTTAATAAGTAAAACAGAAAATTCTCAATATCTCAATAACAATATTCTTTGCTGTTATCCTCTTTTTAAGATAATGGGAGTGACCATGAAGCTCAAGCATTGCATTTCAGTCCATACAGTGAAGAATGTCCACCTCTGCACCAATCTGCACAGTTGTGCCAGGTACAGAATTGTAGCCCTTGCTGTGATGACTGGATTTGAGAAGGCAGAGGAGCCACTGAAAACATGAAGTTTTGGAATTAGTCAACATTGATAGTAAATTGTATGAAAAAAAATCACTGAATGAATTCATAACAAATAATCTATGCTGACAAAACTGAAAAGCATACGGATACAGAGATTATGGGGATATTTACAGGACTGGAGAAACCCCCGTCTCTAGAGAAACAGCATCTTAAACAATTTGTGACTTATTTAAAATGGAAAGCAACAACAACAACAAAATACAGGATACAGTGAAGTCTTGAAGTCAGACTAGTTCCTGATCTATCTTTCTGTTTAACCTAGAGATCTAATATTTATCAATAATCTAAGTTTTTACCAGGTTCAATCTTGCCTGACTTTTTAAAACAATTCAAAGTCAGAGAGATGCTGCTGTTTGTCTGTTTTATCATATACGTGAGGTATATTTCAAGGAAAATAAATCACGTGCAACATCTTCTCCCAGAACCATTCAAGGCCTTGTGAAGTGCTGTTCCTTTGCCTTCTCTTGCTGCCATTGTTTTATAGCTTAAAAAGTGGTTTTAAGTGTCTGAAGAATTTTTTCTTCATTGTAAAACACTAGCAAATTATATTAGTATCTTGTTATTGGAAGACTTTACAGGACTGATTAAATGTAAACACCCAAGTATCTTTTTAGGCATGTGGATTGGAAGCATCCTTGATTCTATGGTTTTTAAGAAACTTTTCATCCAAGAATTTTCTAGAACTTCCATCTACTGGTGCTTAAACTGTGATAATTTTTAGATGTGAAACCAAAAGTTATTCTTGTTTTAATCAGATTGTACTAAGAATATAAAAGCTATGTTGCCCAGAAACTTAGTTTAAATGTTTGTCCACTGAATTCTTTTCTATGGAGGATACATTATATTTTGGTATTAGAATGTGCTATTGAAGACACAATACAATCATTTTGTTGATTTGGGTGCTTATTAGATTGTTTTAGTCTGGGCTGTCTGGCTGATATTAATGTTTTTATCAGTTTTAATGTGCTAAGAGTCTGCTAGAATGACTGCCAATCCATTTTAATTAAATAATTAATCTGGAGATGTTCAGAGTCTAGGTAGAAAGAATGTTTAGAAACCCCTGGTAATCTAGAAATTGCCTTATGCTAACCCAATAATCCTTTGGGTCAAGTATTATTGACATGGATTGGCACCATCTGTGTAGTAATTTAGACTGAAATCTTTGCTCACCCTTCCTTACTGGACATGATAAGGGTGAAATTTGAGGCCATCTACATGCCAAGTGTACATTTACTATTGAGTTGTCATACCAGGAACTGTCATCTTAAATTCCTAATGGACTAAATATTTTCAAGTCCCATGCTTTTTCAAGAGGCAACTGGACTTTCTTGTTTTTCTTTGAAGATGTTTCACTTCTCATCCAAGAAGCTTCTTCAGCCCTGATTTTCAAGGAGGACCTTTGCTCTCCCTTTTACTTTTTCATGAAAAAAATCCACAGCAGTTTCCTGCCTAGTAGAAGTGAACAATCTGATTCATATAGATTTGAAGTGGGAGATATGAACTACACACTTTTAAATCTGTGGTTTTGATAGCAATAATTCTTGGATCCCTCCTGCATAATATTGAGGTAACTTAATTTGGAAGACCTGAGGTAGCTTTTGTGGCACTTTAAGTTGAGAGTGAATTGATTACTGAAAAATGTGGCAGTGTCATGGGGTAAGCTCTAAGTGTACTATCAAGGCAGGTCGACTGGCATATAATGAACATTTTCACATGGTATTTCTCCGTATGTGCAGCAAAACCTTTCGTCTGGTTCACAGCTGGAAATTGATGCTGCTTTTCAAACTTTGACACTGGAAAATGGAATGCCAGGTAAAGTTGTGGGTACTCACTTATTTCTACAAGAGTTGGCTGGGATAGGGGCTTTGATCATCTTGACTAGACTGCGATGAAACATGTTTAATAATAACAAGTACAAATGTGCCCATTTTCACTGCCACAGTTCAACTGGAACCACAGTTGCAGGCAACTTTATGCCTGTGAAATGGTGAAATATCCTTTTCTTTTAATTATTAAAGCTTACATCTGGTTTTCAAAATTAGGAATTTGGGCTGCCAATTATATCTACTAATGCCTATTGCTGCATGATTGAATTATTGAAAGGAAGGAAAGTGGGAAAACCTTTTAATTTGTAGTATACTTCTTAGACTTAATCTGTTGTTATTACTGAACACTATTTGGCCAAGATGAGAATGTATTTTATTGATAACTCCTGAAGAGACTATATTGGTTCAGCTCCATTGGATCATTTGTTAACAAAAGTTTTTGAGAAAGACTATAGATGCAGCTGCAAAGTAATCTTGGACAGAGCAAATTTAGATAAAATCCCTTTTTGGTCAAATTTCAGACTCGTGGTTGTATGATCACGTTGGTAGATGATTTTTATTTGGACCTGGATGCCCGAGTGCATCCCTCTTAGTCCTATTTAATTTCTTAGAAGTGTTCATTACCATGAATTCTGGTATTCTTTTGGACCCCCTGCAATGTGTGGGAATTGATTGCATTCTGCACCAGTGTTACTTCCTACCCATTTTCAGGTTTAGTCAGTTGTGATGGGGATGAGCAGTTGAGTTCCTGGATGCTTGTCCATGGGTTTCCACAGGGTTCATGTATCTCCCTTACATTTTTCAAAATATCTACCTGAAACACATGGCTGAAGTCCTTCTATTTGGAGTAAGCAAATATTATGCTGATGATATCCAGTTAAATATCTTCACCCAGAGCCAGACAGGAGGTACAGTGAGTCTCCTACCCAATGTCTAGAGCTAATCAGGGACAGAATGGGATGAAGTATTCTGACACTGGGCTTCCTCTACCCAAATGCATAATTGATTATGATATTTGCCATTGGCTTTTCCTTTGTTAACGCACATGTGCAGACAGTTAACAACCATTACAATCCAATAGTGTAGCTTGCAGAGATTCCCCAAGAATTTACATTATATTACATTTAATGTTGATAAAGTCAGTAGGCTAAGTAAGTTTATTGCATACGTGTTATTGCAAAAATCTTGTTAACGGTGGATCTTAATGTATGTGTAGGTTCTGCAGTGCCAAATGAGAATGCAGCAGGCAGTTTTTACCAGACCAGTGATGATATGCTCCAGTGGATTATTCAGGAGTCCCAACTGAATCTGACTGAAACGTTGCAGGTCTCACGGGCCCCAACAGTAACCACAGATTCCAGTAATCCTATAGGTAAGTCTAAACATAGACTTTAAACAATGAATCACAAAATTACAGAAGTGGAAGGGATCTTGAAGTTTTATCTAGTCCATCTTCCTGCTTAGTGCAGGATGCAGTAGAGTGTCTCTGACAGGGATGAAGACCTTTTTAAAAAAATAATTTTATTTAATATATAAAATACAAAGAAAAATAGAAATAAGATATTAAGGGAGGGAAAAGGAAAGGGGAAGAGAAGGTGTGAAGTACAAGGCAAAAGAAAAAAAAGGTGTTGACTTCCAACTCTTCAGCACAGTACAAAATAAAAGCACTCTAGCCTCAACTTTTTGTTTTTACACATTATTATATAACTAGCCATTTCTATAACATGGAAATCTATCTAATCGACAAAGCCAGAGTCAGAATTATTTTTTTTTTCGTCACAAGCACAAAATCCAGAAGTGGTATCCGAATGAAAAGCATACTCAAGTATATTCTCCTCTTTAAATAGAATGATCAATTTAGTCATTCCTGCTTTATCTCCCTTGCTGTGGAAGTGGTATGTATTTCTATTTGCACCTAATAATCTTTATAAACTATCACCATTTTTATTAACAAAGTTAACTATATACTTTCAAATTCTTTGACCTTACTAGGAAAAGAACTTTTTTTTTCCACCACGCCCTTTTTTTTAAAAAAGAAAAATGCTAAACTTTCATTAAATACTTTTCTAAAATCAAAACTTTCTAATACTTTTTTTCTTCTTTAACTTCTTAACAAACAGGCTTTGAACTTCAATATTGAATTTAGCTCCAAACTACCCTTATAGAATAATATCTTTTTTTTCTTCCTTTTATAAACATATAAAAGTTTTCTTTAAACTAGTACATCATTTTCTTTAACTTTCTCTTAGTACAAGTAGTCTCAAATACATTTTCAAAAACATTTTTCATACTTTAAAAATTACTATATATATAATTTTCAAATTTTTGATAAAGACTTTCTTCCAGTTATAAATATCAAGCAAAGAAAATCCATCCTACTTCCAGTGTTGATGGTTTAAGTCATTCCTTCCAGGTTATCGTCATAGAGCAAAATCTTTTTTTTCTCTAGAAGTTTTACCCGGAGGTTGTAGGCCTTTTTATCACGGAATCATCAGCCTTGTTAATGTCCTTAAAGAGAAAGTCCAAATTTGTCTTTTTTCTTCTTTCAGTTGTATTGAGAATTTTATATTTACGCCATAATAATGAAAGTTAATAGCAGGTTCTTCCAAAACTGCAATGAGCTGCTTTGCATTTTCTGCCTTTTCAACTACTTGTGAAGTTTCAACTACTTGTGAAGTTGTCTTGGTAATATGATAGCATTCTCCACATGTTTGCATCTCAATAATTTGAGAGGATTTTTTTATTATCCTTAAAGCACAGCTGGTCAGCGAATTGGCAAATTTTATTTAAAGACCTTTCAACTATTTCTCTAATAATCTGTTCCACCATCTTGGCTTCCACTTTTATCAGAAACTTTTTGCCACCCACAGCAGAGAAGACCAGGCTACAAGTTACTACAATATTAAACTAAAATCACAGCCTTCATTCTTTATATGTCTCCGTCAGCTTTTTTTCTTCTTCACCACACTTCCTTATTTGGCTTGCCTTAGCAGCCTTCTTCCTTATTGTTTAAGGCAAAGAAAAATCGCTAAAATGGCATGAGTCTTCAAAAAGGCACAACAGGCTGTAACTAAAAAGAGCCTTTTTTTAACTTGGCTTGAAAAGAATAATAGTGTTTGAAGGTGATTAAGAAGGGAAACACCTTCATGGGGTTGTTGTGGCAAAGGGGCTTGCATAACTCAATGAAGCTATGAGCTATGCTGTGCAGGGCTACCCAAGACATAGCAGAGAGTTCTGACAAAATGTGATCCACCAGAGAAGGAAATGGCAACCCACTCCAGTATCTTTGCCATGAAAACCCCATGGATAGTACCAAAAGGCTGGAGAAGAGCCTAATGCTGGGAAAGATTGAGGGCAATAAAGAAGGGGACGACAGAGAATGAGGTGGCTGTATGGAGTCACTGAAGCAGTAGGAGTGAGCTTAAATGGACTCCAGAAGATGGTAGAGGACAGGAAGGCCTGGAGAAATGTTGTCCATGGGGTCATGATGGGTCGGACACAACTTTGCAACTAACAACAAGAAGAGAAAGGCGCAACTTACTGACCATTTGAAATGTGGATTTCAAGTGTCGGCTTCTTCAACCCCAAACAGATTGTAGCCCCCCCCCCAGCTTTTGGCATGCAGATTGCTTTGTACGAACTCCAGAAGCCGTCTGCCAGCTTACAGCTGTTTTGGAGGGTTCTGAGGGAAAGTTTTTCGACCCACACTGACTGGGTGGGTCTTAAAAACTGAAGGAATGCCAAGTCCCTTCAGTTAAAAGGTTGAGGAGCTACACCCCAGGGAAAAATCCTTCAGAGATCTTTCTCTGGGCATGTCACCCAGTTGGCCATCTTCCCGTAAGTCCAGCATCATATCAAGCATTTTTTTCCCCTGTATAGTAAACACTCCCATGTTCTTTAATAATTCCTGTTTGATCACTCACTGAAATGTTTCTTGGGCCAATCATTTATACTCTTGCGTTCTGGGCTGTCTCTTTGGCTCCATTAAATTAAGCATGTAATGCCTTTATGCTAGGTTTTATCCAAAAGAAACAAAGAGAGTCTTATGGAGAAGACCAGTGGCTGGAGAACATATATTAAGAAGAGCTGTCTACAAAACTCTTTTTATCATCTGTTTTTCCTATCTGTAATAAAGGCTGTAGATTCTTTCTGCTGGTTACCTTGTTTTATTTTTCTAAATACACCAGGGAATGCTGTTTTATATGAGCAAAGAAGTTCCTCTGAAGCCCCTCAGGTCACCCAAAATGACTGCTTACCTACAGGGAATGGAGTAGTGGTTGAACCTGTGGCAATTAACTATTACCAAGAAGGACCCCAGTGGCTACCTGCAAACCCAACAAATCAGATTTCCCAGTCAACCGTTGCTTTTCCAGTGTCACATGCTCAACAAAACTTCCCTGGTACTAATCAATTTAATCAAGTGGGTGAGTAAAGTATTCTGCAGCATATCTAGATGAATTCAGCCCAAATGGAGGCCAAAACTTTCCTTAAATTGAATCACTGTAGTGGCTTAAATTCCTATTGACACTATCAAAAGATAGTTCCCCTCTTCCTAATTCCATTTGCCCAGACTTTGCAAGCTTATGAAAGGTGGGAGAGGAATGAAAAAAATCTAGGCTAATTGCTTGTCCAGCAAAGAGTGAGAGGTTACTTCATTGTCTCCTGACTCCCAATTAAACACTTCATACTTGGAGAGGAAACTTATCCTTCTAGGAAACTAGTAAGACAAATACAAACAAACAAAGGGCAGAGGCACTTTGTTAGTGAGTTGTTTAATAAGGCAGTGCAGAGAATGGCTGTTGTCACTGGAGACACGGCAAAATGGGTTCAAGAAGTGATAGGGCTACAGCAAGATCACACAATTTTCCTGATTTTTCTCTTATTTGGTTCATTAAAAGAAGTAAGTGATTTGGCTAAACCAAGCCTTATAAGGATTTACAAGTCATCTCACTTTTCACCAGTTTCGTGACTTCTTTGTATTCTTAGCAGGCATTTTACCACCTTTTGACTTGATAGCTTAATATAAAATATAAAATTACCAAACAAGACTTTTGCCTCTTTATCTGCATTTGTTTTCAAAACCATTCTAAGTAAGCAAATCTATATACAATATAATATATTCCTAACATAGATGTGTTTCTAACTTGTGTATTTCCTCTACCCTAGCCCCCGGATCCTATTACCTATTGACCACTGTGGATCTCTTTATTGTACTAGTGTACTTCAAACACTTCAGCCAGTCTTCTCCTAGTTTTGCCCAATGGTTCATAAATTCTAATTAGAGTCACTTGCACAGTCCCTCTTAGGTTTATCAGCCAACATTGTTCTGGATAAAAATGAACAAAACACAGTCCTTGCATCAGCAGCTAGAGGTATCTAACCCATGTTGCCATTGAGGACTTTTAACAATGCCTCCACTGCTTAGCTTCGTTTCCCCCAAACTCTCTCTGATGTTGACATGCCTCCCTTTGCCATTCCCCCAGCAAAATAAAGGTTTTGTGTCCATTGAACAAGAAGTAGACCCATGTAAAGGTGGCTCAGTGGCTAAAATATAATACTTGTGACTTTTGATTTGAGAATAATGGTTCTTTCTCTTCCATCTTAGAAGAATCTGTCTGCGACACCAGTTGTTTTGTCACTAATATTTATCTGAATGAAGAGCCTCAAGATAATGGAATAGCAAACCAGGAAGCTCCAATGGAAGAGAGTGTATTTGTATCTTCAGCTACCTTCCCGACAGATGAACCAGCCATCAATAACGTTCCTTCTCAGGACCCTCTAGGTCAGTGAAATCATTTAATGTGGGCTCATGGAGGCAACTAATAAAAATACCTGAGCAGTAACAGCTAACCAAAAAAATATACCTTTTAAGTAGGGAGTAGGTTCCTTCCCAAACTCCTTTTACTGTCTTCTTTGTTTTCTGCTAATGCCTATTCAGAATGCGAGACTTGGCAGGCAAAAGGATGCTGAGTCTGCTTTCACTACACTGCGTACTCTCGTCTCTTGCAGAAACTGTCCCATGTACCATAGAGGTCTCTATCTACTACCATAACAAGCTGCAGGGCAAAGCAGAAGTAGACAACTGCATGTTCACCTACAACCAGGAGAACTACCACCTACCACACAATGCACAAGTCATAAAGTTTCCAAATCCAGAAGTGCTGACGGATCAGAAGCGAGTTCAACATACCTTGATTGCATTAAACACTGCAAGTTTATTATTATCTCAGAAAAACGGGAGGATCTGGGCCAAGCGACTTGGCACCTGTCAGGTCTTCCATGCATTCTCCAAGGAGCTGGACAATCCGTCTCAGGACCCTCCACGTAAATTACTGCCAAGGAATGTTGAAACGGAAATCTTCAACTATGAGCAGTTCCTTCAAGGTGAGGATCTAGAAATGAGGCAAAAAGTCTTATTTATTGAAAGGGCTGTGTGCAGTCTTGAGTGTTCAGATCAGGGGCTGTGTGACATCAGTGTTGAAATAATTAAAGAAAGGTAATTATAGGCAGTCCTCATCTTACAATCATTCGTTTAATGACTATTTGAAGTTACAGTGACACTGAAAAGATGATCTTATAACTGGTCCTTGAATTTATGGCTGTTACAGCTTCCCCACGATCACATGATCAAAATTTGAGCACTTGGCAACTGATCTATATTTACAACAATTGCAGCATCCTGGGGCCATGTGATTGGCTATTGGTGACCTTCCCTGGGGGCTTCCAAATCAAAGGGGGAAGCTAGTTTTGCCTAGTGATTGCAACAAAAAAAGAATGCAAAATCAGGTGCGACTCACTTAACAATCGGATTGCTTAGTGACAGAAATATCCGTCCCATTTGTGCTTGTAAATCGAGGACTAATTGTAAAATCTTTCTCAGCCATCTTCTGTTTAGTATTGTTACAGCTTTGCTATCACTGTTTTATGTCCTTAAAAATGGTTGTCTTATAAGACTTAATTTTGAGTTAATTGATACAGAACACCCCTGTCCCTGGCAATCTAAAAATTATAGGGTTATCAGTGCATGTAACATAGATGTGTGTGTGGACAAGAATATCAACCTTGCTGTCAAGCAAAATCAAACTTTTAATAGTGCCACACAAAGTGCACTAACCAAACAGGTGGTAAGAAAACAGGGGAACTCGAGCACCACACAGGTTATGTAGAAAGTAAACACAGGGTGAGTCATAAAGGACTCAAATGTCTATACACCAATGCACAGAGTATGAAAAATAAACAGGGTGAATTAGAAATTCAGGTAAATGAGGGCAGATATGATATTGCTGCCATTACAGAAACTTGGTGGGATGAAACCCACAAATGGAACATACAGCTAGAGGGATTTAAATTATTCAAAAGAAAGAGACCAAATAAAAGACAAGGTGGAGTTGCTCTCTATATAAGAAATAACTCCATCTCTACAGAAATAGAGCACAACAATGATGAAAACTGTCTTGAATGCATTTGAGTCAATATAAAAGGGGGGGAAATGACATTGCCATAGGTGTATACTATAGGCCACCCAACCAAACAGAGGAAATAGATGAACCTTTTGCTAGACAGCTAACTAAGGTATGTAGGAAGCACATCACAATAATAGTGGGGGACTTCAATTACCCTGATATCAACTGGGAAACAAACTCTGCACTAAGTGGAAGATCAAACAGATTCCTGACAAACCTAGCAGACAATTTTGTCTACCAAAAAGTAGAGAAGGGAACTAGGAGATTAGCCATATTGGATCTAATTCTCACTAACAGAGATGAAATGATAGAAGGTGTTGAAGCCACAGGAACCTTGGGGGGAAGTGATCATGCAATATTGGAATTCAACATTATGCAAGCACAAGCAATAGAACACAGTCAAACTAGAGTCTTGGACTTCAAGAGAGCTAATTTCAATAAACATAGAGAGGGCTTGGGAAGGATTCCATGGATGAGAATCCTCAAGGGGAAAACAACTCAAGAAGCTTGGGAAATTTTGAAGAGTGAGATAATAAAAGCCCAGTCTAACACAATACCAACGAAGAAGAAAAATAACAGCTCTCAAAAGAAATCAGCATGGCTGCATAAAGAACTCTCTGATAAATTGAAAGACAAAAAGGACAAGTATAACAAGTGGAAAGAGGGGCACATAACTAAGGCACAATATCAGCAAATAGCCTGGGCCTGTAAATAGCCTCACTGTAAAGTGAGGAAAGCTAAGACTCAAAATGAACTAAGGCTTGCGACAAAAGTCAAAAACAACAACAAAAGCTTCTTTCAACATGTAAAAAAAACAAGAAAAAAGTGAAGGAAATGATTGGTCCATTAGTGGGAGAAAACGGCAAGAAGGTGACAAGCAACAGGGAGAAAGCAGAACTATTTAACTCATTTTTTGCATCTGTCTTTACACAAAGGGAAAAAACAGTCCAACCTATCAAAAACTACCATAAAAAACAGATTAGAAACACAAGTTAAAATAGTCAAGAAAATGGTAAGTGAGCACCTGTCCAGCCTAGACGAGTTCAAATCACCAGGACCAGATGGATTACACCCCAAGGTTCTCAAGGAACTGGCAGATATGATCTCAGAACCACTGAACTATATTTTTCAAAGATCCTGGAGCATTGGGGAACTACCAGAGGACTGGAAAAGAGCTGATGTAGTTCCCATCTTCAAAAAAGGGAAAAAATAGATCCAGGAAACTACAGACCTATCAGCCTCAATACTTGGGAAGATTCTGGAAAAGATAAACAACGAATCAGCGAATACCTAGAGGCAAACAAAGTCATTACGAAAAGCCAACATGGGTTTGTCAAAAACAATCATGCCAGACAAATCTTATTGTATTCTTTGACCAAGTGACAAAATGAGTGGATCAGAGGAATGCTGTGGATATAATTTACTTGGACGTCATTAAGGCATTTGATAAAGTAGATCACAATCTACTACTTGATAAGATAGAAAAATGTGGTTTAGACAGCATCACCACCAGATGGATTCATAGCTGGCTGACCGGCTGTACTCAGTGTGTGGTCCTCAATGGAACCGCATCTACATGGAGGGAAGTGTGTAGTGGGATGCCCCAGGCATCTAGGCCCAGTGCTCTTCAACATCTTCATCAATGATCTGGACGAGGGGATAGATGGAGAACTCATCAAATTTGCAGACGACACCAAGCAGGCAGGAATAGCCAAAACTCCAGAAGATAGGCTTAAGATACAGAAGGATCTTGACAGACTTGTACACTGGGTGCTGTCTAACAAAATGAAATTCAATGGTGAAAAAAGTAAGGTTCTACATTTAGGCAAGAAAAACCAAATGCGCAGGTATAGTATAGGTGGTTCCTTGCTCAATAGTAAGAGGGAGAGGGATCTCGGAGTCCTAGTGGACAATCACTTAAATATGAGCCAGCAGTGTGCTGCAGCTGCCAAAAAGCCAACACAGTGCTAGGCTGCATTAACAGAGGAATAGAATCAAGATCATGTGAAGTATTAATACCTCTTTATAATGCCTTGGTAAGGCCACACTTGGAATACTGCATCCAGTTTTGGTCACCATGATGTAAAAAAGATGTTGAGACTCTAGAAAGAGTACAGAGAAGAGCAACAAAGATGATTAGGGGACTGGAGGCTAAAACATATAAGGAACGGTTGCTGGAATTGGGTTTGTCTGGTTTAATGAAGAGAAGGACGAGGGGGGACATGATAGCAGTATTCCAATATCTCAGGGGTTGCCACAAAGAAGAGGGAGTCAAACTATTCTCCAAAGCATCTGAAGGCAGGACAAGAAGCAACGGATGGAAACTAACTAAAGAGAGAAGCAACCTAGAACTAAGGAGAAATTTCCTGACAATTAGAACAATTAATCAGTGGAATAACCTGCCTCCAAAAGCTGTGAATGCTCCAATACTGGAAGTTTTTAAGAAGAGACTGAACAGCCATTTGTCTGAAATGGTATAGGGTTTCCTGCCTGAGCAGGGGATTGGACTAGATGATCTCCAAGGTCCCTTCCAAGTTGTTTATTATTATTATTATTATTATTATTATTATTATCGATCATCGCACAGTCAGCCAGATGTTCAGACTGGATTTGGCATTTTGTCTACCTATCGAGTCCTTACCCAGGACCTGGGATAGGTAGATGTGGATGTTTGATGGTATTACAGATATCGTCGCATGGAAGCAGTTCCTAATAAGGCCGCCTTTTGCAATTGACTAATAGCGAATTTGTCAATGCCAATTGTGTTCAAGTGGTGCTCCAGTTGTTTTGGGATTGCACCCAAGGAGCCTATGACTATTGGTACTACCCTTGCTTGTTTTTGCCACAGTCTTTCTATTTCTATTTGTAGGTCTTTGTATTTTGTTATCTTCTCCAGTTCTTTCTCTTCTATTCTGCTATCTGCAGGCACTGCCACGTCCACTATCCAGACTTTTTTGTCTTTCTTATCGACAATTGTTAAGTCTGGGGTGTTATGTTGCAGGTGCTTGTCTGTTTGAATTCTGAAGTCCCAGAGCAGTTTAATTTTATCATTTTCTATGACTTTCTCTATTTTATGATCCCACCAGTTTTTGCTTACAGGCAAATGATATTTTTTGCAGATCTTCCAATGCACCATTGTTGCTACTTTGTCATGCCGCTGCTTGTAATCAGTTTGTGCAATCTTCTTGCAACAGCTTATTATTATTATTATTATTATTATTATTATTATTATTATTATTATTATTATTTAGTAAAGACCTCTCAGTCCTCTAAGGCAGAGTTCCCAACCTTTCCGGGTTGGCAGCCAGGAGGGGGGGAAATGGAATGATTTTGTGGGAGAGACAGGCTCCTGTGCGTACCCGTGCATGAGCACCCATTGCTCAAGGAATGAGGCCGAGAGTACCCATGACGCTGGCGATTGGGCCAGGAGATTTTATGGTGGCATTTTGAGAGAGAGGTCAGAAGATTCCCCATAATATGCAATCAGATCTGGTAGGCTTGGTTAATGGGTTGTTGAGGACCAGAAGATTCTAGGTTTCTTCTTACTTAACCTTAGATTTTATTGTATTTATTTGCTCTGTTTTTCTGTTTATGAATTCATATGTTGGCTTAAATAGCTATGAATTCTGGATTTTTCTCTCTAATAGAACTGACTGAGTTCCGTAATGGTCAAAGAGGCTCGTCTCCTGATTATACCATTTATCTGTGTTTTGGACAGCGGTTTACCGCTGCCAGACCCAAGGAGTCCAAACTGATCTTGGTCAAGGTAAGGATATCGGTGTCAGGAAATTTACTGAAGATTGTCCAAGGTGATTTCTGTCTTCAAAGGGATCACAGTAGTGGACTTCAGTCTGTTGCCACCCCAGCATGATTTCCTCCTGAGGCCTGGATGGAAGGAAAGCATAGCCAAGTGGTTTTGTGGATGAGCCCTAAGAACTAAAACTGTGCAGCATTTGAGACTTGTCTCCAAAAGCTGCTATGGAGGGTGCAAGATTTCAAATACAATCCCCTCCCAGATTTCTTCAGCCAGAAAGTCCAGCTTCATTCAGATTGAGCTTGCTACAGTTGCATGTCTGGATTTGAACATCAAGCCTTACAGACTATAGATTATGGCACAGTTACCTTCCAGTTGGATTTGCAAGATTGCTCCAGGGGCAGAAGGTATACCAGGTAAAGAAGGGGAATCTTGCCCTATGATTTCAGTTCCTCAGTCAAATAGAAATAAATCGGCAACCCAGCATATTAAAATATCAGGTCATCTGTATTTTCAGGTTTCAAGAGGCTATCAATTTCAGCATACCCATATATCCAGTCTCACTGTCTCCTTTCTGTTCCTGTTTTTTTTCCCTAAAAATCCTGGAGTGCCACCCTTTTGAATCTTCCATTCAGTACACACCAGATTCTTCTCTGAAAAAAAATGGGCTTCCTATAATATTGATCAGAGGCAGCTTTATTTAACAAGGAAATATTCATTAAGCTCTCTGTAAATATTTTATATCTCTATAAATATTTCATACAGGTTGTTTATCTTTATCACAGTCTTTGACTAGCCTTTACAATAAAAGAGTACAATAAAAAGAGAAATAGTTTAATGCAGTAATTAGTTATTGGGGAAGAGAAAAAATAATAATAGGGCAATAAACAGAATATCTAATTAAAATTTTTGCACAGTTGTATAACATGGTGAAAATATTTTACCACCCTATAAGTGAGTATAGGATTAGCATCCTTTAAACGATAATAAACATAAAATTTATTTGTGTGATCCTTGTATTTGGAAATGATTAGGGCAATTAGAGCGTGTCTTGGAGCATCACAGAAAGGGTACCCTATGAGGACATGGGTAAAAAAAATTTCCTCCTTGGATCCACAGGGGCAAAGTCTTTGTGAATAGGTAGCCCCTTGAAATCTTCCCTCCAATAATAATAATAATAATAACAACAACAACAACTTTATTGTCACTTTGAATGTACACCAATCGGCATACATAAAAATGAAATTTCGTTGCATACAGCTCTCAAAGGGTCACCACCTCCGATATACACTCCTTGTTCGTGGCCAGCTCAAGTTTCAGATCGTCCATTTTAGTCTCTAGGGAGCAAACGATGGCAAACAGGACAGATGGAAATGGAGCTCTATGTGGATTAGCCCTCAAATTAGCTTGTATAACTGCACGACATGTATTCTTTGTTGGTACAGCAGTACTAGTTACAACCTGGGTGTCCCAAAAGCCACCAGATTCTGCTTAGGAAAATAAGGCTAATCTCTTAATCTCTTTATGCCCTTTTCACAAGTTTCCACCCTCTGCAAGGTCTCAATCACTAGTTGGATGCAAGCTTGTTTAGCCCATTGCTGGAAGGTTTTGCTACCGTGTGGATATTGCTGTCCCTTCATAGCAATAAACCACCTCTAGCATCTTCATCAATACAGTGGCATTTGCAGAGCATGTATGTGGTCCCCAGTCTCTTTCTTAATTCCCGCTGCCTTATAGGACTAGATAAGAACATTTAGATTTTGCTGCTGGAGTGAGTGGGAGATACAAACCACATAGCCTGTTGTTCTTCTTGCTGATGAACATTTTTTGTTCAGTTGTGCATCACTCATTTCTGTATTTGTCCGTTGTGGAAGGAGGGATTATTCAACTGTATTTATGTATTCATTCTGGAGCATCTAAGCTGCTTGTCTTGCATTCTTGGACTCGCTACTCTTTCTCCTTGTTCCCAGAATATCTAAAGTTAATCTGAAGCTAATTGGGAAAACTGACCTCTCTTCTGTTTTGTTTTTTTCTGAGCCCTCCTATTTCTAAGCAGGGGAGCCATTGTCAGTGAAACCATTTCAATTTTCTCCTAGAGAGTCAGTCTCATCCCTAAATAACTTTTTTTAGTGAAATGTATCTTTGCATACACTAACAATATTTATTGTCTTCTGTGTATCTTACAGCTGGTTCCAAATTTTTGTAAATATTGGCATGAATTCCTGCAGAGGGAAGGCTTCTCGTCCCTGAACAGCGAAACTGTGAGCCTCCAAATCTCCAACAGCCTCTTTGATATGGTAGAACAGCTTTCTACTATACTCATGCAGACTGACACGGCGCATTGAGTGTTTTGTTTTATATGCCAGTTAGTAGGTTTTTGCAAAGGATGAGGCTGGTTCCCTCTCATTTGTTTCACGGGCAGAAGTACTGTAATCTCTGGATTGCATCCCAGCCTTATATTAGGGCAGATAATCTCATAATTGGACTATTATTTATTGAGATAATCACACCCTGGGGATACAGATACTCTGCCATCTGAGATGAATTCTTTCCAAGAACTTATTGGAATGTACCTCTTGCTATGTGGCTTTATAAGAAGGATTCTTCTCTGCCAGTAATAATTGGATGTGGCACAAAGTTACGAAATTCTTGCAAGAACGTATTTTTATGTGATAAGAATTTCCAGATACTGCAGGGGTGAATTTAGATTCTGGAATGCACTTTTATCTCCTACTTTTTTGTAGGAAAAAACATTAAATGTACATACTAACCTGAAAGTCAACTGATTTACTTCCTTTCTCTGTGTTTCTCCAAACAAGACTATTCCCAAATGCTGTAGGAGAGGCTTAAAAGCAAGGTTTTGTATTTTCAGTCCTAAAAATAAAGAAACAAGCTTACAAAAGACTTATGTTCCTATGTAGGAATTGAGTTTATTGTCCACCCAGACGCTGCAGTTTTTAAATATTTGAAAAAAATATTTAAAAACTTCATTCAAGGCAAACATCTTGATTAATAAATTGTTTTAAGTGTATCAAGTTCCTTAGAAGTAGAAACATTAGAAGCTGTTCTCTCTTGTAATTCCAAGGGAGCTAATTGAAATAATTATTTATCTCTGGCACTCAACTTTGTATTATATTTTTCTATATTTTAACCTATTTACAAAAAAAAGCTGTTCAAAATCAGTATTGATTGGAGCAGCATATAAATCTTATAAGTAAATAAATAAACACTTTCATAGAAAAAGGAGCTTATGCAGCCCAAGGACAAGTGGCCATTTTTCTTTGTCTTCCAAAGCTACAATACAGGTAATCCTCGACTTATGACAGTAATGGAGCCTGCCCATTTTGGTCGTAAGGTGGGAGGACGTTAATTGAAACTCGTTAAGTGAAAGAGCCCTCATCATCCCAATGCAGACATTAAATGAATGTAAGGGTGAATGCAGGGGTCATTAAATGTGCATGGGATGCCTCAGGAATGTCTGCCTTGGGCCTCCCAGGGCCTCTCCCACCCCCTGAGATATCTCTGTGCTCTGCTTCCTTTTCTTGGAGTCCCCACAGGCATCTCCAGCCCTCACAACACCTTGCTTACCTTCCAGAGATATGCAGAATTCAGTCTTGTGGGCCATTTGGAGCAGCCATTTGCAAACTGACCTCGGCAAAGCAGCATTTCCCCCTCCTTCTGCCTTTCTGCATGGCCTCTTTAACTCAAAACAGGATAATGAGCCACAGTTTGTGCTTTGCAGTTTCTATATTTCCTCAAGAAAAAGTTTTAAAAGTGGGGGGGAACCAGAGCCTGTTGCAATGATAGGGAGAACAGACAATGAAGGTTTAAGTGTTAAAGGGGCGATGCAGACGAGGTCAGTTTGCAAATGGCTGCTCCACGTGGCCCAGTAAGAACGGCCCACAATACTGAATTCTGCAGATCTCCGGAGGGGTAAGCAAAGCATTGTGAGGGGTGAAATGGGGGGCAAAGCAGGCCCATGCCTTTGGGGACCCGCAGAGCAAGGATGGGGGGAGGGAAGAGATAGGTGGGCGTGCTGCAGCATCTCTGCAAAGTTATGAAGCCGTCCGGTCATTCGTATGTGCGAATGATCAGATAACTTTTCTAAAATTATTGTCTTCAAATCACGGTCGTACATGGCTTTTAGGAGGTCTGTTGTAACTTCGAACAGTCGCTAAATGATGTGTTGTACCTCGAGGATTACCTGTAATTTTCATAAGCCATTTGGAAATCCAGTATTGAAGAAATCTATACATGCTTTAAAGCAGTGGTTCTCAACCCGTAGGTCGGGACCCCGTTTGGGGTCGAACGACCATTCACGGGGGTCGCCAAACAACGCAGTCCGCCATTTTTTCCCCTTTTCCTTAGCTGTGCTACTCCCTTTTATTCTATTGGCTTTTGAAAGCCAATAGAATAGACTCTCTTGAATAGAGTCTAATTCTATTGGCTTTCAAAAGCCAATAGGAATTGTCCAGGCTGTCTCTGCCCTACTGAGCCCGCCAAAAGCCCCATTCTGCAAACGGTGCTGCACCAGTTGAGTAGTCCTCGACTTACGACCGGTTGAGTAGTCCTTGACTTACGACCGGTTGGGAGTCGCAGCATTAAAAAGGTTGAGAACCACTGCTTTAAAGAGATTCAGAAGAGCTGGCTGCTTTAAGGAGTTGACTCATTAAAATAGCAATGTCTGGTTTGGGGTTCACATGGAAACCTGACAGAAAGTGATGTGACTTATGTTAAAAAGTTACGATGCTTGTCCTCCCAAGCTTTGGAAAGTTCTTGCACACTCCTAGTCATCAGGTATAAACTCCAAAGGGCGAGTGGAGGCTGTTCCAACACAAATACTATGGCATCTGAGGCAGGAAAGGAAGTATTAGAAAGTCATCTAAAAAAGACCATGTGACCGTTTTGTCTCTTTGCTTTTTTATGTTTGAAATGGTATAGGGTTTCCTGCCTGAGCACGATTGGACTAGATGACCTCCAAGGTCCCTTCCAACTTTATTATTATTATTATTATTATTATTAGTTCTATGTTATTGCACTAGTACTACAAGTACAAGATTATGTAATAGTTGTTTTTCACATTATTGTATGATAGGGGCAGTTATTTAGCTGTGTCCTCACTCTTTGTCCTCAAAGAGCAGTAGGGGGTGATAGGCGCTGTGATCGTGCAGCAATATCAGCTCCTTTATTTTAGGGAGTAATAGAGACACAGGTATAATGGGCATTGTAATAGTATCTGGGAAAGACCTTGGGAGACAGGGCAAAGAGACATAACACAGGGAATATTCAGATGTGGACTGGGCAAGAGAGCTGAAAAGAAACCTTCCCTAGTTTCTTCAGCTGTAAAGGAGATGGGCGAGAGATTTAATTTCAGACTTGCAAGATTGGTGTCAGCCTTTTAAGATAGGAGAGATGATGCAATGAGCTTATTTTACTTTATTGCAAAGCTACGTTAACAGAATTTTGCAACTCTGAAATTACATTTCTCCCCTATCTTCTTTACAGCCCAAGAAATGGGCTCTCTTCTGAGCTTCCTGCCCTGCAATATTCCTAGGTGGACTCTCTGACTATTCCCTTAGTTGTATCTCTTTGCCTCGTCCCCCAAAATCATTCCCACATATCCTTACAAGAACCTGTTTTCTAGTCTAATTCATATTAAACAAAAAGAAAAAAGAAAGCGTAGAAGAGGGGGGAAAGGGGCATTATGCTGACCAATTTTGGTTGCAGAGTTTGGGGTAGGAGGAAGACAACAATAAGACTAGTGGACCGTATCTAGCCAGTAGGCTGCCTATGCCCAGCTGTAAGACAGGTTGCAGGTAATGTAGCCTCGTAATATATGGTCTATGATATGAGAGCATGTATCACTGAAGAATGTTAGCAGATCTCTGCTGAATCAAAGACCTGTCAAGTATAGTTTTTGTCTTCTCATAGGGATCTAGGACAATCGGCAGCAACCACATTGCTGTATCCACTTCTCCATGACGCCCCACCCCCCCACAGCTGATCGACTGTGGGCTGTGGCCGGGGCTCCTCTCCTTACCCCTTTTCCCAAGCGCTTCATCGAGGGACACTTGTCCCCAGGTGATTCACTCCATGGGACAGTTAAATGTGCCTTCCGCGTTTAATAATAATCTCAAAGCAACTTCTCTGTGTGAAGTCAAGGTTGCATGCACTTGTATACAATCCATTAGTAGAAAGGAACTTGGTGGGTGCGGGTGACTGTGTTTGCCTTCACCTGCAGTTGGGGCAGAACAAAATAAAAAATTAAAGTAGCAGGTAGTTACCGTCCCTCATATTCCAAGAGACATTTAGCAAAAAAGATTTCTTATTTTGTAACACATGCTGAATTACTTTACACATATTAGAATTGAATCCTGTGGCACTTAGTAGATATTATTTAGTATGCGTAGAACTGAAACCACAATGCATTGTTTTTTGTTTTTGTTTTTTGTAGTATTTATATATAAGATGCAGTTCTGGAAGAATTTCCAGTGCGTAAGAAGTAGGAGGAGTTTTTTGTTTTATAGGGGTACGAAGGTGAATGAATACCGAGCTGCATCTTCGGTTGCACAGCACCCATCTCTTTTCTCTTGTCCTTCAACAGCTCCAGTGCGTGTCACCCAAATCTGCTCAGGCAGGTGGGCAGGCATGCAGGAGGGCTGCAGAGGAGAATTGAAATCATTTGCCAACAGTCTCTGTTCCTCAGGCAGATGGATGGTTGGACATCCCTGGGCCAAATCCACCTGATTGCATTACTCAGGTGGTAACCCGATGCCTGCCTTTCTGTGCCTAGCACAGGGGTAGGCAACCTTGGCTCTTTTATGACTCGGGGACTTCAACTCCCAGAATTCCTGAGCCAGCCATGCTAGCTCAGGAATTCTGGGAGTTGACGTCCCCGAGTCATAAAAGAGCCAAGGTTGCCTACCCCTGACCTAGCATGACAGGCTACAAATGGGATAATTGAAGAGGAAGGAATCTAATACAGGCAGTCCTCGACTTACAACCATTTGTATAGTGACCGTTTTGAAGTTTGTGTGTGTGTGTGTATATATATATATATATATATATATATATATATATATATATATATATATATATATATATTCTGAGGTTTTCACGGGTGTTTGTATGTAGGTCTTTGGTTATTCGGGCTTTCTCCCGCGTCAAATTGGAAGTGTCTTGGCGACGTTTCGACGAAGTCTCATTCGTCATCTTCAGGCTGGTGTTTTCGGCTTCGTGCTTCTAGGAGCAATGTGTGATCGTAGCTGTTTCTTCCTTTTAACTGCCAGTGGGGGTGTGAACTGATTGGATGAGAGCTTGGCTGTGTTCTGATTGGATGGAGGTGTATTCTGATTGGTTAGGAGCTTGGCTGTGCTCTGATTGGATGGGGGGTTGACTGTGCTCTGATTGGTTGGGGGAGTGTTCTGTTTGGGTGGGGGCTTTGTTGTGCTCAGGTTAATCTGAGTTGCAGGGGGATGTGAGATGGTGAGCATTGCTATTGTTTGGCAAAAAAGATCATAAAATGGGGCGCAGTTCACTTAAGAACTGCCTTGCTTAGCAATAGAAATTCTGGCCTCAGGTGTGGTGGTAGGTCAAGGACTATCTGTATTTAAACCATCCGTCAGAAGCAGCATCATGTCCATATGTAAGCAGGTCATAGGATATGGAGAAACTGGTAAATACTGTACCTCCTCTTCTTCCAAGATCCAAGGCTGGAGAGCCAGAACGGAGCTGATGATAGTGTATGCTCAGAGTTAAGTTAGGGTAGCAGCCTGTCTCAAAGGCAAGACTTGTGCTTTTTATTAACTAAAGTAGGAGACCTGCAGATCAGGTTGCATTCACCTTTGATACAGCTTGCCTTGTTTAAGGGAAGAGAAGCTTAAATGTTTTGGTTTTTTTTTTAATTGGTACTTTCAGGCCAGGAAGGGCCATAAGCATAGAGTACATTTTCCAGTTGCTGAATGATTGGGGGGAGGGGGCGCAGAAGCAGCAGGGAGTGCAGGGCAGGGGGCGCAGTGGCAGGAACAGCCCACCACAACAGTCCCAAGTTCTCACGTGACCCCTTGGGAAAATTAACGGCCCACCTCTGCATTACAGGAAGATGAAATTGAGTCCCCAATTTTGTCCGTTGCACCTGAAGTCCATTTCAAATGGAGGCCTGTTAAAGCAATATTTTGCAACCCCCACTACTGGACTGTGAGCATTTAGAACCAGGCTGTGGAAGCAGTGCAGGCAGAGGGTGAGTGCATGCACACACGTTCCATTTGTGTAGGTGGCAGGCCTGTGTGCAGGCCACTTGCACAAATGGAGCTGCGCACGCACTCTTCCTGGTCTCTCACGTGGAGCCATTCCCTCCACCACCACCCACCGGTCCACAAAGCCAGAAAGGTTGGGGAACTCTGGTGTAAGAGATTGAAAATTCATTTTCTAATGTTTGCTAGATAATATTTTAAAGCAGGGTAAGGACACCTGGGCCTGAGTGTTGCTAAAGTTTAGCTCCCAGTATCCCTCATTTGGCTAAGGTGTCTAGGGCTGAGTTTATAACACCTCACCTAATAAAATATCCAGGAAATACTGATCTTTTCTATGTACCATTACAGTTATCAGATCCGTATGAAGTAGTTTCTCTGAATGTGGCCAAATTTTGTTATGGTGCATGCAAAATTAGGCAGACCCTTAACTTGCCCAGTGATAATCTACCACCAATGGTAATGTATTATTTTGTCTGCCATTTATTTTTATTTATTGCTATGGTTGTCGTTTTAAATGCTTTTATGTGTATTGCTAGTGTGTGACCATAATAAAAATTGATTGTCTAAGGCTCCTGGGAGGACACCTGCAATAGCTGGAGGGCTCCCAAAGGCTAATCTTCCACAATCCTGAACTAGCCTTGCTCCATTAACTCTAACTGATTATTCGTAGAAGATGATTGACTTTCTCAGACAAATACTTACATTGTGATGCATTGATCAGGCTTTTATGGAAGCTGCTTAGAATCCTTCATTGGTTTGACAGTTATATTGTAATGGCTGTGAGTTTTATAATACATTTTTCAAATGTTGCTGTTAGTCATTGTTTCTAAACCTGAAGCCACTTACTGTGCTTTTGGATCTCAAGAATCTTTTTAGACTATGAATGCCTGAAAACCTTATTTGTACTGAATTGAATCACAGGTAGTCCTCAACTTACAACAGTTCATTTAGTGACTGTTCAAAGTTACAAACAAACTGAAAAAAAGGGATTTTTCACATGACTGTTGCAGTCATGTGATCAGAATTTGGATGCTTGGCAGTTGGTTCATATTTATGTCGGTTGTACTGTCCTGGGGTCACCCTAACCTTTTGCAACTTTTTGACAAGCAAAGTCAATGGGGAAGCCAGATTCAATTAATGACCCTGTTACAAATTTAACTGCAATTATTCACTTAACAACTGTAGCTAGAAAAGTTGTAAAATGGGGCACAACTCATTTAACAAACATACATTTTGGGCTTAGCTGTAGTTGTAAATCGAGGATTACCTGCATATTGTATTGCTAGAATTTAAAATTAAGTCTTAATATTTTTGTTTCGGTTTCTCGTGGAAATATTTTATAAAATGTGAAAAATCTGTTGAGAACCTGTAATGAGAAATCAAGTCTTTATGTAACTTGTGTAAGCTCATTATGCTATAACTTCAGTCAATAATATTTTATGGAAATAAATTGTCATTCCATGTACATTTAAGAAGTACATTTTTTATTTGAACTGATCATTAAATAACATTGACAGAAATGATGTTGGCCAGTGATTTATCCTATGTGGCAGTTTTCATTTATCCAAGATGTTCTACAACAAAACAAAACATACCAGGAAATGTATTACAGATTTTGTTTAACAGATTAAACAGATCTAAACCCAAGTGTTACAATTACAGAATAAAGTTCTCTCTTGCTTTCGAGGATATAGGAGCCCCAATGTGGAACTTCTTAACAAGAATTGTTTACAAAACTTTTGCAACTTTTTAAAGTATGGCAAAGAGGTATTTGTGTTTGCGCTCTTGCATCATCTAAAGCAGCTTTTGGAGATCCAGTCTCAAATTCTGCAGAATTTTACTTTTCACAGCTCATCCATACATCCATTTTACCATACATTCCTTCCATCCGGGATAATGGGAGAAAATCATGTTGGCAAAAATCATATTGTCCCCACATCTTGCTCTTAATGTGTCTCTGGAATGGGGCCATGCTCTGCTGCTACCTATACAACAACTTCACATGACCCTGTAAGACAAAGGTCCCCAACCTTTTGGGTATCAGGGACCGGTTCCGTGGAGAAAGGTTTTTCCACGGACTGGAGGAGGTGTCGTTTCATATACTGCCTGCATCCTGCAGATGGGGCTTTGCTTGTTTGTGTGGACTGGTTGCTGGCATGCCGTGGCCCAGTACAGGTTCACGGACCAGGGGTTGGGGACCTATGCTGTAAGAACAGTAATTGGCAGCTTTCCCTGGCTGAATGTCATCAACCAGGGTAAAGCCACCACCCATTGCCATGCGGAATATGTACCAGGATGGTGATTTAAGATCCCAGTATATTGCATACATGATCTTGGAGCCAGAGTTCAAGGAACAGGATTCAGTAGTGTTCAGCTGTGGGGTGCCCTCTCGTACATACACATCATTTCTCTCAAATCCTTATGGACTAGTCAATCAACCACTAAATCACCTCCATATCAGATGAGAGGTTCTCTTCTGTTTTCCCAGAGAAAACTATGTATTTCCAGGCTGTAACTCCCTGAACCCACTTCAGCCTGCCTCAGCAATGGGCTGCCTACAATACAGAGGTTCTGTTTTGAAGACATGTCCCAGGCAAAGAGTATGTGAGATTTCTTTGCATCATATTAAACAAGTGAATGAAATCTTACTGTCTGTTTCATAGCAGTATAACGGATGCTAGAATGGAGAGACATGAATGAAAAGATCCAATTCGTACCAAAAGTGTTGTACATTACAGTTGTGACCTGCTTTTGACCTCATAGTCAAACTAACATTCCATTTTTCTGACCAGTTTTCCCTTACTCAATGTCCTCCAGGTATGTTGGGCTATAATTCATAATTCCTAGCTAGTTTAGGGAAGGCTGCTTTAGACTGCCACATTAACAAACCTGTCTTTCCACATGGACAGTGCTGGTTCCAAAGGTAGCATTTCCGTAGCTGGTGATATAATACTGTGCAGGAACCTCAGTTCTGCTTGGTTTGTTTGGAACTGTGAAAAAAATAAAATGCTTAGTAATATTATGCCTTTGCAATAAAGTTATGGCATGCTATGGCAGACACATGTGCTAGGCTGCCTCCCTATCATCCAAGTGTATGGTTATCTAAATAGAAGTATCAAGTCACTTCTATGCACAAGGGTTGAGAGGCAGAAACTCCCCTTCCATTATCCAGTTCAGACAACCCCACCTTGGCAAGATCACTAGCTCAGTTTCTCAAGAGTTTTACTTTAGTGTGAAGTGCAATCCCCAATATTGGAATAATCCAAGGTTATTCTGCTTTAACCCTCCAAAACTCAAGGGCTATGGTCATTATAACTGAAGTGCAATAAAATACTACAAATAATATAAACAAAGCCAGCACCGTAGAATTTTGTATCTAAAAGCTTTTTGACAATAATGTACTAAGCCTATATTTTTCTGGACATTTACCCTAAGGCCCACTCACAATTTTATCAGGCAGCATTCTATCTTATTGAAATAACATTAACGTTAGTATTAAAATAATTAAGACAGAGTCATTGACATTAATGGCAAATATTCCAACCTCACCTTTGGGTAACAGGAGCTCTGTTTCAAACCGATGGGCACAAATTCCACAAGTTTTAATGTCTTCTTTGAACCTGGAATGAAGTTGGACGAGAAAAAGGACCAAGCATCACTAAACAGATTGGCCCCTAGTGTGATAGGTTGTTACTAAGGTGTCAGACTAAGGACAAGATCAGAGGTTCAAATCGCTATACAAGCATGGGATTTACTGATTGATTTAGGCCAGTTACATCTATTTCACACCAACTTGTCACTACATAGTTTTCTCTGGGAAAACAGAACCTCTCATCTGATATGGAGGTGACAGTGATTGATTGACCACTAATGGGGAGAGACCTTGATATACCTCATTTTGAACTTTCAAAGAAAAAGGCATAAATAATTCTTAAAATGTGGGTGGGTTTGTTTGGGATTTGGTTTGGTTTGGTTACCAAAAGTGATTTTTGCTAATGCAGTCAACAGCAAAGTTTGAAAAGCTATAAAAGTACGAAGGCATATTACAATTCTACTGCTGTGATTTGGAAAAAAGATGCAGATGAAAATGGAAAGAAACTGCCCTTTGACTAATGGGCCACTATTCTTCCCTACAGCCGCTACTCCTAGGTAAGTAGAAATTGCTCAGAAATAGGGCAGGTTAGTCTTAATTGTACACACCAATTTTGTGATATGGTGATGGACAGAACAGGAAAGATTTAAGTCTGAATCCCCAGTGCAGCCTGAGGCTCCTATGGGATAGGCACAGATTTCAGGCTGACTTATCAAGAAGGTCGCTTCAGAGACCTTAAAATAGTAATATAACAACATCTCCAAATAAGTAATTCGAAGAATATAAAAGCAATCCCTTAGCTTGACTATAAACTCCTCTAGCTTAGGTTTCACAAGGTCAAAGAAAAGAAAGATGAAGCTTTACTGTATTTATGAGCTAAAGAAAAGAACTGGCAGTCATCCTGCAGCACAGCCTTTTCTCATCTAGAGCCATCCACATTTCCTTAATCTCCAGTCTAGTCTGGGCTGTGCTGGCAGGGGACCATGGGGGAGGAGACCTAAAACATTTAGAAGGCAGCAGATTCAGGGAGGCTGATGAACCAAATGAGGGAGGACTATAAACGTGGTAGAAGTGAAACCCTTAGTAACACTATCAGAAGGAATGCTTAAATGAAAATAAGCGCTTTATTTGAAATATTTTGAAGGTTCTGTTTTCTTTTTAAAGTCAGTTTAGAAGATACAGAGCTATCCCTCAGTTAAACTTAGGAAACACGGATTCACCGCAAAGTATCTCAGCAGAGGATCTGCTTTGGAAAGAGAAATGTTATCGTGTATATTTTCTGGATAAAGGTAATTTTCTGGACAGAGGAAAAGAAGTAATTTAAACCGCAAACCGTGAAAAAAACTTTTACAGTCTTGGTTTTGCCGGTGCACAGCATGAATACGCACACAGTCATCTTGTCCTCCAGATCTGGCCAGACAAATTCAGCAGGACATCCAACTGTCCGGCAAGGAGTCTTTATGCAAAGATGGAGCCCAGGCCATTCCTCCAGGAGTTTTTGGTTGATGGAGATGATTGTTATAATAAAGTCCCAGGTTAATTGGAATCCTGTAAAAGGCAACAGGGAGAGGGGTCTTAAGAAACATCCAGAGCAGTCAGTCTTCTCCAACTCCGTGAATCCCAGATGAGTCTAATTTCAACTCCAAATTAATTACCATCTAGTCCAGCCAAAGGCTGTGAGTTTGGGAAGAGCTGAAATGTGATGCTGTTATAGAGCCCCAAGTTGCAAAAAACTGTTCTGAACTTTAAAGGATGCATTAAAGCAGATGCAACTTTGCTGATTAAACAACATGCGCACAAAGGTGCTTTTCAAAAGGCAACTGGACTTTCTTGGTTTTTTTTCTTGAAAACTTTTCTGAAGAACTGTAGAAGCGTCTTGAATGAGAAGTGAAATGTTTTCAAGGGAAAAAAACTAAGTAAGTCCAGTTGCCTTTTAAAAATTTTGGGATAACCATGACCTGGATGATTGAGAATATCCATAGACGCTGTGCACACAACATTTTTCTTGGTCACACAGGAATTTGATTCATCCTTGTTAAGAAGAATGACTAAAAGAAAACAATAAATCTATTCTCTAAAGTTGGTTCTTCAGTTCCACCGTTTGATTTAGGACAGAGTTGAAGCCCGTTTCTAATCTACCACTATTTATCAGTGGGTCCTTCTCCCATACTCAGCATCAGTGGGATTTGCCTGTATGAAATACAGACTTTTTTCAGCTGGCATCCAGAGATGGGGCTGACCATTTGTGGTCATATGACAGGCCATTCCAAGAGTCAAACCTGTCAAACAACTTCCTTCAGCTGACACCCAAGGAGCTCATTTGTTAAGAATTACACAGATTCTGGCTTTAGATATACTGTTTTGTTCTATATCATTTACATTACATTTGAAGGTATAACACTAGAAAGCAGTAAATGCCTATGTACATACCGGCCCTCTCCCCTGGCTTTCTACACCTGAATTCAATGTAGCTGTAACCTTTTTGGTTATTTGCTTTGATCAGTAAAGGTGTGCCGCTACATATGAGCAGGCAGATGGCTTTAGCAACCCAGTGAGTTGAAAAGAAGGAACAAGCTTTCACCATGAATCTGGGAAGAGAGGGGAAAAAACAGTCAGTGCTTTCAGATCCTATTTTAAGATGTTCTCTCTTTCCCCAACATTACTGGCACTGCTAAATTGGACCCAAGCAATTACAATAATAATCAGTTCAAGAGAAGACTAAACAGCCCATATTCTAGAGAGTCCCTAATGCTTAAAATCAGTGGGATGCAGCTATTAATGGCGGCACAGGGCTTGAGAGATCAAATTCAAGCTCACAACTCAGCATGGAAGCTCCTTGAAGAATTCTGGTCCAGTCATTAACCCTTAGTGTTGAGAAGAAAACCAGAGGTAGAAATGCTCTGTAGATAGCTTTAAGTTCTGGGAAGGAAGGATGGTTACTGTTTGATGAAGGCTATTGTATCTTTCAGAAACAGGTTGCAATCAACTCTTAGACTTGAGGCTTCTTGCCTGCAATTGGGGCGCAGAATTAAGTAGCCTGGTTGCAACTGCATGTTCTGCTTTTGTATTTGCAAAATCATCACAAATTTACTTTCCTGCAGATTTGAGTGGCTCTCTATTTGACAGTCTCCAGGAAAACACTCCAACAGAGAATTAGGACAAATTAAAGGCCACAGAGTATAAGTCAAACTACCGGCACCCAGCAAAACCCTCACAGTTTTGTAAGACACAGGTGGCATATTGTCAGAAATTGTCCAGTAAATAGTGGCGGCCTCATCCTTATATTTGACCCCTGCTTGTACAAATCAACTGTCCCCAGTTCAAAAGGGCCCTCAGTTATAGATATTGGAGACTTAGCAAATACTATTCAATACCTTTGGAAGAAGCCCTCTGGGATCTCAGGAGAAAAGTACAAGCGAATGTGCAAGTCCTCCTTGTGATCTTCTCCCCACATTGCTGAAACCTCCTGGCTTTGATTGAGATAGTTAGGAAATAAGTAGTGTGTGTCCTTCTCCAGGCTTTGCAGAGTTTCCCACGGCTCCCCAGGTACAAATGCTCTGGCTCTAGGATTAAGTCCTTCTACATTTTTGATCTCCAGGCAGATCTCAAAGTGCTCGAGCAGGCTGAAGAGCTTCCCCTTCTGGAATCTGCTTCCCACCATTTCCTCAAAGATGTCCACCATATTGTCTAAAGAAAGCTGCTGCTTAAGCAAAGCTCTCATAGCTTTCTGGCATAAGATGGCTTTGGATTTAAACATCAATGCCCAATTGGTCCGGTCTCGGATGGTGGCATGTTCTCCTATCAAGATGTCCACAGAAATGCTCTCCAGCTGTTGCCTTAGGCCATACCTCACAAGAGTCTAGAAAAAACAGAAGCATATTTGCCCAAATAGACACACAATTTTGCTAGCTGAGTTGACTGAAGATAAATCAAGACTTACAAATAAACCTTTTGGCATCTTGCAGTAGATTGTTTTCTGATTCCTAAGTATTTAATCATACCAACAATAAAACCATTCTACTTCTGTCCTATCTTCTTCTTAAACAAGTTTATAAACTGAGATCAGACCAGTTTTGTATCTGACTCTTGGGATTTGAACAGGACATGAACCTATCCCACAAGTCTGAAGCATGCCCTAAAATAGTCCGCTGCTTTTTATTACTTGTCGGAAGTGGAAAATAAAGGAAATGTGATGTCCAACAAATTTAAACTGAAACATACAAAGAAACTTTTAAAAGTTCTTCTTGATAAGTGGTATGGGTATGTAGCTAAATTAATACATATGTTCAGCTATTTCATCTTGCAACATAATCTGGAATCGTATTTTGAATTCCTGAATTGAACTGGATGGCTGCACCATTTAGCTGGTGTTTCTGGACAGAATATCCAATTCTATTGATTACTACAAGCCATTGGTTTTCTGCGGTAAGATACAGTCAGAATGCCAAGTGACCATCCATACTTCAAAATTATGAACTCCCCCCCCCAAGCACTGATCTTGAGTAGATAAAGATACTGGATAGGACTGTAATGTGATTTAATACATTGCACTCATATAATTTGACTACCATCTGCCTCTCCTGCTTCACATTATATTTTCTTCTGTTAAGACGGGGGGGGGGGTGTCTCTCAACTCTTGGATAGTTTGTCAAAAGGCCAGAGGAGGAGAGTAGAGAGTAGAAACAAATAGGATGCCCCCCCCCCGCCCAAATGGAAGCATTTTTCTATGTAAAAGTCACCTTATGGGCAGTTTGGTTTTTCTCGCTCTATTTTGCTTTTCAAAAAAATTACAGGAAAATAGAATAAAAATAGAATAAAAGCATTTCCCAATATACCATTGGGTTAATTCAAAGACAATACAGAAGAAAACTGAGAGTCTGTTCATGAATGACCCCACCCCTTTCCCCAAATCCAGCACTTTTCCTTCATATTAATAATCTTTGCTAAATGGGACTTGGGAGAAAACATAAGGGGAAGTTTTGGCAGCTACTGTTAAGTCTGTGGAAGATTGTTTATGCTATTATTTTAATGGCTTAAATTTGTTGTTTGGTTTTGTTTTGACTTTGTAGTACCCCGCAAAGTGTCTGTTACGATTGGGAGGAGGTTATACATATGTTAGAACGATTTTTAAAAAATTATGGTCTGTGGAAATTTGGCTTCTAGCTAACTTCAGAGAAGCAATGACCCCATGGTGCTGGAGGAGGCTTCTAGGGTGGAATAAAGGTGATACTCACTTTGAAGAGAGTGATCAGAATAGTTGGATGTAAGAACACTGTGTTCTTCAGCTGCTTGATCTTTTCATACCACACAATTAATCCAATGCGATGAAGGTATCTCAAAATATCCTGCAGAAGTTCTCTATCCAAATGATACTGGCAGGAGAGCTTGCTGTGTAAAAGACTGAAATTCACCATCCCTAAAGTATCAGAAGAGGACTTGTTGAGGGCTGATTCGAGAAAGGCAGTCTCAGGCAGTCAACCAACAGTATATTCTATGGTGCAAACAGTATATTCTATGGTGCAAACTAAATTATTGTAAGTCCTCAACTTACAACAATTTAGCCCAAAATTTCTGTTTCTGAGACAGTTAAGTGAATTATGTTCCATTTTATGAGGGTTTTTTGCCACAGTTATTAAGTAAATCACTGCAGTTGTTAAGTTAGTAACACTTGTTAAGTGAATCTGGCTTCCCCATTGACTTTGGTTGTCAGGAGGTGACAAGGGGATCACATGACCTTGGGACACTGCAACCATCATAAATATCATCCGGTTGCCAAGCATCTGAATTCTGATCATATGAACATAGGGCTACAATAGTTGTAAGTGTGACACACACATACACACACACAAGAATCTTCCTGTGAGAACTTCATTCAAAGCAATCTTTCTCTTTCTAGTCTTCCAAATCTTTGAACCCAGTCAATTAACTTTTTATCCAACAGGCTTATAATTAATTTAACAAATCAATTAAAATATTGATTTGATATGGATCTTTATGTTTTTAAATGAATGTTTGCCCTAAATAATCGAGAAACCTAGCACCCAAATAAACTTAGGTTGCACAAGAGGAGGCATCCAGTTGCCTCAGTAGCTCTAGGTACCCAATTGAATTCAGAGTTTTAATTTAGGCCCACCCAGTTTAGGAACTATGCCCCAAATAATTCTTCTGAGCTAGTTGTGGCCATACGGCTGTGGTGAAATACACTTTGCACACGTTCCAAAAGGCATGGCTCTCACTTAACAACAACACAGTAAAGAAACGAAAGAGAACGTCTATAAGATAATATTTACTTGCCATGTTCAGTCATCTCTTCGTTATTTTGCATCATATCCACAATTGCTGCTTCTACTTGTTTATAGACAGGGGGGAGCACTTGGATGACATTGGGGAAGAGTTCTTCATTCTTGACATGCTCCAAGATTGCTTCTTCAAGTTTTTTAATGTCTAGGTAATCCATGCAGTTGACAGGAACAAGATCTAGAATCTAGAACAGAAAATGCGTAGAAACAAAGAGAACTCCAAACAAGCAAAGCGGGAAAGTGGGGAACTACTGACGTACTGCTTGGTGTTCTGTTTTTGTGGAAGCTCAGTGGAGAACAGAGTGGAATAGGAGAGGCCACACATTTATGTGTAGCATGACAAAACTGCAATCCCTCTGTCCTAAAACTAGGAATCATCTGATTGGCTAGAGCAGGAGTGTCAAACTCGCAACGTCACGTGACGTGTCGCGACATATCGTGACTTTTTCCCCATTGTCGGAGCTGGGGTGGGCGCGGTTTCGGCATGACGCATCCGGCCTGCAGGCCAGCAATTTGACACCCCTGGGCTAGAGATTCATGACAGAAAAAACGGAAGCATGTCATCATTACTTAGATTGCTTCCCAAGATGTTTGGACAGTTGCATGCCAGCAGTTTCTGGGTCAAGATCGTTGTATATGAAATATATATGACAATATTCCTTACTGTAAGGGTGCAATTTTCCATTTCTTTCAGTCTAGTCCACTGGTCCTCATAGAACTCAGATTCTTCATTGTCTTCCAGATTAGTAATAAGGTGAGCTAGGTTGACCTGTCTCTCCTCCAGCATGGCCTGTATCTTGCACATGATATCCTTTTTCTTTTCTTCAACCTCCTCCTTGGAACAAGCATCCACATGAGTTCCCACAGGAAGGATGACAGAATTTGGCACTCTCATAAAGAGGTTGCTTATCCAAAATCCAACAAGATCCTTGAAGGAGTCATTAGTAAGCTGATACCTACAAAAAGAAAAGTGATGAATCGCTGAGCCAGTTGATCAACTAGCTTATTTAAATACAAGTATTTTCAATAGTCCCAATTATCATACTGGCAAATGGAGTTTTTTTTTCTTCCTCAACTTCCTCATTAAAGTTATATACTAATACTTGTAAAATAAGGCAGAGCTCCTTTAGTAAAAATACAAACCAAGGAGACACGAGCTCAGGCAGGCATCTGCCAGGCTTTGCCCATCAGTGACACTACAAGCAGTTCATTTCTCCTGAAATCAAAAAGGGTGGGCAGGCATATCAAACATATGATCTCAGCATACTGTAACATGAAGTGTAACATTATTTAATATATCCATCGTTGGAGGTAAAAGACAAGCCAATAAAAATGAACCATTTAAAAAAGATGTGCAGAAAAGTATGAAGTCTCTGTCACCAAATATGAGAAATAAATTCTTTGTGTGCTCAGTTGTATTTCAACTTTAGAAGGAAACAATAGAGAATTAGTCTTTTGATTGTTACATTTGGCTTGCTGAGAATTCAACTTAGATATCCATTGTTGAAAATCCAAAACTCTGGGCAGGACTGATTAAAAGGATACTTCCTGACATTTTGTGGTAAAGTTCCTTCTGGATCAGAAACTCTTACAATGATTAATTTTAGTAGAAAAATTGTGTATTTTCTTCAGAAACTGTGTAGTGCAATCCTATGCTGTTTTAATGGAAGTGACTTCAGACGGGCTGGCATGATATTTAGCCTTAGATGCCACACTTATCAAATAGCACTGAAGTGGGAGAAAAAGGATGATTGTTGTCTCTATAATGGCGCCATCAAAGTTTAAGCATTTAAATCTGACGCTTTAGAATTAGATTGTTTGTTTAGATATACAGTATCTATTCCACTTAAATTAAAGGGAACTGTCACTGAAAAACACTTCACGCTTCTTGGCATTACGGCAAGCCTGCTTGATGGCATCAGGAATATAAATATGATTGCAGTTCAGCCTTGATTATATTGCATCCTATCTTTGTGTTTTTCAAAAGTAGTGGTTATTTTTTGTTGTGTGCCCTAAAACCTACACCAGCTGTTCAGAATTACAGTTTATAATTGGGTGACATATAAATCTCATTCATAAATAAGTAAATACATGTTCACAATGGAAGCCAGAGAACACTTACTGGTGAAGGTTAATGGCCAAGATGACAAGGGCCTGTGAAGTAATGAACATATGGTGGGTCACATAGTATTCCAGCTGGCCAGCAAAATCCCAAAAGAGAAAGGTGAAGCCTTGGATATGGAACTCACTTATCTCAATCCCAACTGTCCGCTCTTCCTCTGATAGTTGAATAACTTGTCCCTGCTTTAAGCTTTTGCACAATGTAGACTTTCCTGCTAAGGATGTCCCCAAAAACATTGTCTTGACACGCTTGTCCTCCTCAGCTTGGCCATTCTGTAGCTGATTGAAGTAAGTGATGATCTGTTTGATACCCCCTGCACATACTTCATCTGGGGGTTCCCTCAGTGAGTTCCCATTTACTTTGAACATCTTCAGGGGCAGTTCTGTGAACATTTCTCTGGGAAGGTAGCGTAACAAGTTATTTTGCACATAGAATTCTTGCAAGTTTTTCAACTCCAAGATTACATGAGGGATGGCTTGGAATAAGTTTGTGGACAAGTTGAGATACTGGAGAAAGTCCCTACAAGAACTTAGATCCTTAGGAAGACTGTCTAAACAGTTGTTGTTAAGTCGGAGATGTTTCAATTTAGGGAGAGAAGAGAAGATCCCCTCTGGGATAGTTCGGATTTGGTTTTGATTGAGCTCAAGCTTCTCCAGGTGGATCAAGTTCCGGATTTCCACTGGGAAATCTGTTATAGCATTTTTAGACAAAATCAATTTTTTCAGGTTGTAAAGACTAGAAATCCCATTGATATGTTTCAGCTTGTTCCGGTCCAAATTCAGGTTCTCCATACTACTATTTTGTAGCACTTCAGGTGGAAGAATTCGGAGTCTTAATCTGGAAAGGGTCACTTTATCGACTTCGTGCCCTGGGGAATAAAGAATATAAGATGGTGTGATTAAGGGGAAAAAAAAGATTGAGGAGTCCTTGGCGCTCTCTGAACTTGGTTGTTTTCCTGCAGACATTTCATTACCCAAACTAGGTAACATCATCAGTGCCAGTGCTAGCAAAAAGACTGAAACATGCTCATTATTAGGGAAGCTCATTTGGTGGCAGTGGAGGAGGGGGAAAGTGGTTAAACTTTCAAAAATACTTGATTAGGCCAAATTTTACATACAGTAGAGCAGGCAGAGAAAGGGATGGGGAAAAGAGAAAGAGCAGGAAGGAGAGAAAGTGGACAATACAATATTGGAAAAATGTATTATATATAGCTTCAAACAGAATGGGGGGTGGGGAAGCTGCAAATGAGCTGAGGTGGCACAGCAGTTAGAGTACAGTACTGCAGGCCACTTTAGCTGACTGTGTTCAGCAGGTCAGCGGTTCAAATCTCACCGGCTCAAGGTTGACTCAGCCTTCCATCCTTCCGGGGTAGGTAAAATGAGGACCCAGATTGTTGGGGGCAATGTAAATATATATATATATATATATATATATATATATATATATATATATATACATACATACATTGCTTACTGGTGTACACCGCTTAGAGAGTGCTTGCACTTAAAGCAGTATATAAGTCTCATAAACAAACAAACAAACAAACAAACAAACAAACAAATAAATAGAGATAATTTCAGATGACTCAGGAGTGTCCCAAAAATTGGAGGGGTAATAACAGTTATAAAAATGGCTGATACTACCCATTTTTAAAATAGAGCATCTAACTTCATCTCAAACCATTTTCTCAACAAAACACAAACATCCCTTCTAATTTTTTAAAAAAATCAGAAATAACAAACTAGATTATTTCTCTCTAACAATATTGAAAATAATTTATTCTGTACTACAGACACGGAAGTAATATCCCAGTTCTGACAGTGCAATCCAAAATAGTATATTAGGGGGTAACTTCATTGCAGATAGTTGGGCATCTTACAATTGCATAAAATGTGAGTCAAAGGACTGACTTTGCTGTGATTCATACAATCTTGTACCAAAATTTAGCAACCTGATTTTAAGAATGCAGGTTGATGAGAAGTAAATTAGAATTATGAGTGGGTCCAATTGTTGGACAGCTGATTAGAGTTATTGCTTAGCATGTGATGCAAACCATGACTTAGGGCTTAGCATCTTATATGAATCCAATTGAAAAATAAATCACTTTTTTAAAAAGTTGCATAAAAGTTGCTACAGCCCATCTGTAAAAAAAGGAATGGGTAACCCTTGGCCCACGTTTGCCCTAGTGCAAGAATCCAGGTAGTATAAGGCTGCAGATACCTAGACCATCTCTCACCTAATCTTCTCAACTATACATAGCAATTAATAGGAATTAAAGACATACTTACTAGGTCTGTGCTCAGACATATTTTGGGTTTTGCTCTCTATTGGCAAGCAGCAGCTGTATCCTGCTGTCTATTTTCATTTCCTGAAATCTTTTCATTTTGAAAAGGCTTGAGCTCCACCTTCCCCCCCCCCCGATATTTCTAAATACTGTATAGCCTCTCCCTTCTCTTTGTGCAACCCAAGGGAAATGAAAGAGGAAGAATTGGATTCCCCATTGAGAGCAGACTGATAAAATGCTCCCACCACTTCCAGAAAAATGATGTGCACACAAGCTTTAAAAAAAAGCATTATTTCATATGCTCAGTTGTAATACTGTTCCTTCTTAAAGCGTTGGTGTTTAATCCAGAAGATGAATTAAACTAGGGGTCTTCAAACTTGGCCCTTTTATGACTTGTGGACTTCAACTCCCAGAATTCCTCAGCCAGGCATGCTGGCTGAGGAATTCTGAGAGTTGAAGTCCACGTCATAAAAGGGCCAAGTTTGAAGACCCCTGAGCTAAACCATAGGTCTGTGGTGGCGAACCTATGGCACGCGTGCCACAGGTGTCACGCAGAGCCCTCTGTATGGGCATGCACGCCGTCGCCCCAGACCTAGGCCTTCAGTTGGGTTTTATAAAAGCTTTTCGCTTTAGGCCTTGGCCGCCGTGTGCCAAAAAAAAAAAAAAAAGGTTCAATCAATCAATCAATTTCTCTGGGGGAAACAAGATCTCGCAAAATTGGAATTGATTGATTGAACTTTTTAGTCCCACCCAGTCTGCCGTTACCACCGAAGCCATGCCCACCCAATGCCCATGCCCACCCGGCACCCGACGATACATAAGTAGGTTTTGGGTTGCAGTTTGGGCACTCAGTCTCTAAAAGGTTAGCCATCAGTGCCATAGATGATACCAGAATATGTCTTTGCCTAGAGCACCAAAATGTCTGTTTCTGCAATGTGAGTTTCTGGATAATCATCACTGACTCCAAGGAAATAGTCACCAGAATTAAATGACTGGTCCTTCCTGCCACCCAAGCAATGTTCATGTTTACATTTAATAGAAAACATACTGAATCATTGCACTGTTCCGATCCATCTGTTGTCACCAGTGGCCCCTGTCATTTTGTCTTTCATCTTCTTATGTTCTTCGTAGCATTCAGCTCTTTTTCTTTGGCATTCTCCAACCTCCAACATGACTATAGAAATTCTGATGAGCTGTTCCCATCCTGTTCCTTTCTACACACCCAGTGTGCTTATTTATTCAACCTATATGCTGAATATATGTTAAGGAAAGCTAGCTTGGAAGATTAAAATGGTTTTAAAATTTAAAGAAGAAACATTAATAATCTCCACTATGCCGATAACACTACTCTGATAGCCAAAAATGCAAAGGATCTGAAAGCCCTAGTACTAAAATTCAAAGTCACAGAGAAAAAATAGGACTGCAATATAAGGGAGACCAAACTCATGACAACAGGTAGAACAATCAGCCTTAGAACTGACAATGAAGCTATCAAAATGACGAGTAGCTTCACACGGTCAACAATAAAGGACAAATAATTATGAAATACCCTGCAAACTAGCACTTGGTAGAACAAACCTGAAGGCCTTAGAAAAGATATTCAAATGTCATGATGTATCTAATTCTACAAAGATCAAAACTGTACAATTCTGTGACACCCTATGGAGGTGAAAGTTGGACTTTAAATAAACAGGATAAAGTATTGTCATTTTTTAATTTGGGTGTTGGAGAAGACCCCTGTGAATACCATGGGCAGCCAAAGAAAATAAACCAATGGATCATTAAACCAATCAAGCCAACATTCTCACAAAAATGACGAGACCCAAATTATCCTACTTTGGTCAAATTATGAGGACCAAACTCTCTGGAAAAGGCTCTAATGCTTGAAAAAAATGGAAGGAAAGAGGAAGCGAAGTAGATGGATTCAATTACAACAGCGATGACTTGGGAGACATGAAATAACAGGTTAGAAACAGATCATGGAGAAAGTCTGTGTGGTTCTAGAAGTCAAAAATGATGTAAAAGCACTTCATCAATCTATCAGTCTGGAAATATATTTCTAGATTATAAACTAATAGACTTCCAGGCACAATTGAAAGTACTGATTATCAGCTTTGAAAGTAATTCCTCCACTGAACATTAACTTATATCCCTATGACTTACTCAATTCTTAAAGGCAGCAGAATGCTTGCGAGGATGCTGTTCCTTCTACAAGTTCCGTTGAAGGGCACACACAAAACCAATGTAATCGGTATGTTGTTCCCAAATTGTGGTAGGTGCAACATTAAGCATTTCTTACTCTTAGTTTTTAGAATCTTTTCACTCATTTTATTCTGAATGTTTTTAGAAATCGTTTTGCTGATTTTAATGATGTATTTGTTGCATATCCCTGTGACTTAAAATCAAAAGAGGGAAAAAGCAATACATATTAATTAAACACTACATTAATTAAGAAAAGTTACGTTACTTGGGGTGACTTTTACTGAGGAAAATTCTAAGCTTTACAAAAATAATTACAGTAAAATATGGAAGGAGATAAAATTTTATTTAAATAGATGGCAAAAGTTAGATTTGTCATTAATGGAAAGAAACTCAGTAATTGAAGTGAATGTACTACCTGGAATGTTATTTGTTTTGGACTACAATGATATTGATTAAAGATTCCACCTTCAGACAGTGGCAGAAAGATATATCTAAATTTATTTGACAAAATAAAAAATTAAGAATTATATGTAAGTTGCTACAAGATTCTAAAGACAGAGGAGGTCTGGATTGGCTGGATCTTAGATATTATGATGCTTGTTGTCTGGTATGGTTAAAAGATTGGATAACTTTAAAGAATTCAAGGCTGTTAGACCTCAAAGGTTTGGCTTTGATATTTGGGTAGCATCTGTGGTATGACAAAGTAAAATTTAACCCTGGTTTTAAGATTCATCCTCTTAGGCAATCGATTGCATGTGCATAGTGGAAGTATAAAAGATTAGCTGATAAAGTAGCACTTTGGCCATCACCTCATGAAGCACAACATAGAACACAGATGATTTCGGAATATAAATGGATGACACATCAAGACTTATTGATGTATGAAAAAGACGGATTTAAGATAAATACAAGAGAAAGACTAGTAAGGGAAGGATTTGCTTGTGATTGGTTTAATTACTGTAGAATTTTTGAAAGATTTAAACTTGATAAAAAAGTTTTGTTTTCACAGGAACCAAATCTGAATTGGATGTTAATTTATGTTCTGGAGATGACCACCTGATTTCTAAAGTCTATAAAATGCTGCTTAAGATAAATCTAAAATAGTGGCTCCCAACCTTTTCTATACCCTGCACCCCTAGAATGCTCCTGATATATTCTTGCACCCTTTACAAAAGTTCGAAACAATGGCAATGAATTATGCATATACATATAATTTTGAAAACCCAAATTTTTGCACCCCTGGTTAGGAACCCCTGATCTAGAAGATGAATATGTGTATGGTAAAATAGGCAAAAAAATTTGGATATAACGCTAGATATATGGGAGAATGTATGGAAGAAGGGACTAAAATTTACATTAAATTATAGTCTGAATTTTTTTTATAAAATGTATCGTTGATATTTGACCCCAGATAGACTAGTGAAAATATATAAAGGGATTTCTCATAAGTGCTGGAAATGTAGTCAAAATCCAGGTTCACTTTATTATATGTGGTGGTCTTGCAAATATGTGAAAACATACTGGATAAACATAGCAATGACAATGCAAAGAATATTTTAAGATAAAAATATTAATGAAATCTGAAGCTTTTCTTTTAGGTATGATGACAGATCAATTGAAAAACAATTTGGGGGTGCTATTCCTTCACATGGTGACCACTGGGAGGATTATACTTGCCAAACACTGGAAAGAAAAGATGTTGATGATTGAAGAATGGATTTTGAAGTTGATTGAATTAGCAGAGATGGCGAAACTAACCACTTTGATTAGCGATAATGGACTAGCCAGCTATAATAAGACTGGAAACCATTTGTGGACTTTCCACATGCTAAGTATTATA